TGATTACTGGGATCCTATTGAAAGACAGACGTTATCATCCTATACACATCAGCATGATTACTGGGATCCTATTGAAAGACAGACGTTATCGTCCTATACACATCAGCATGATTACTGGGATCCTATTGAAAGACAGACGTTATCATCCTATACACATCAGCATGATTACTGGGATCCTATTGAAAGACAGACATTATCGTCCTATACACATCCAGCATGATTACTGGGATCCTATATTGAAAGACAGACATTATCGTCCTATACACATCAGCATGATTACTGGAATCCTATTGAAAGACAGACGTTATCGTCCTATACACATCAGCATGATTACTGGAATCCTATTGAAAGACAGACGTTATCGTCCTATACACATCCAGCATGATTACTGGGATCCTATTGAAAGACAGACGTTATCGTCCTATACACATCGGCATGATTACTGAAATCCTATTGAAAGACAGACGTTATCGTCCTATACACATCAGCATGATTACTGGAATCCTATTGAAAGACAGACGTTATCGTCCTATACACATCGGCATGATTACTGAAATCCTATTGAAAGACAGACGTTATCGTCCTATACACATCAGCATGATTACTGGAATCCTATTGAAAGACAGACGTTATCGTCCTATACACATCAGCATGATTAGTGGAATCCTATTGAAAGACAGACGTTATCGTCCTATACACATCAGCATGATTACTGGAATCCTATTGAAAGACAGACGTTATCATCCTATACACATCAGCATGATTACTGGAATCCTATTGAAAGACAGACGTTATCATCCTATACACATCAGCATGATTACTGGGATCCTATTGAAAGACAGACGTTATCGTCCTATACACATCAGCATGATTACTGGGATCCTATTGAAAGACAGACATTATCGTCCTATACACATCGGCATGATTACTGGAATCCTATTGAAAGACAGACGTTATCATCCTATACACATCAGCATGATTACTTGAATCCTATTGAAAGACAGACGTTATCTTCCTATACACATCAGCATGATTACTGGAATCCTATTGAAAGACAGACGTTATCCTCCTATACACATCAGCATGATTACTGGAATCCTATTGAAAGACAGACGTTATCATCCTATACACATCAGCATGATTACTGGAATCCTATTGAAAGACAGATGTTATCGTCCTATACACATCACCATGATTACTGGAATCCTATTGAAAGACAGACGTTATCCTCCTATACACATCAGCATGATTACTGGAATCCTATTGAAAGACAGACGTTATCATCCTATACACATCCAGCATGATTACTGGGATCCTATTGAAAGACAGACGTTATCGTCCTATACACATCGGCATGATTACTGGAATCCTATTGAAAGACAGACATTATCGTCCTATACACATCAGCATGATTACTGGAATCCTATTGAAAGACAGACGTTATCGTCCTATACACATCAGCATGATTACTGGGATCCTATTGAAAGACAGACATTATCATCCTATACACATCAGCATGATTACTGGAATCCTATTGAAAGACAGACGTTATCGTCCTATACACATCAGCATGATTACTGGAATCCTATTGAAAGTCAGACGTTATCGTCCTATACACATCAGCATGATTACTGGGATCCTATTGAAAGACAGACATTATAGTCCTATACACATCAGCATGATTACTGGGATCCTATTGAAAGACAGACATTATCATCCTATACACATCAGCATGATTACTGGGATCCTATTGAAAGACAGATGTTATCATCCTATACACATCAGCATGATTACTGGGATCCTATTGAAAGACAGACATTATAGTCCTATACACATCAGCATGATTACTGGGATCCTATTGAAAGACAGACATTATCATCCTATACACATCCAGCATGATTACTGGGATCCTATTGAAAGACAGACGTTATCGTCCTATACACATCAGCATGATCCTATTGAAAGACAGACATTATCATCCTATACACATCGGCATGATTACTGGAATCCTATTGAAAGACAGATGTTATCGTCCTATACACATCAGCATGATTACTGGGATCCTATTGAAAGACAGACATTATCTTCCTATACACATCAGCATGATTACTGGGATCCTATTGAAAGACAGACGTTATCGTCCTATACACATCAGCATGATTACTGGGATCCTATTGAAAGACAGACGTTATCATCCTATACACATCAGCATGATTACTGGGATCCTATTGAAAGACAGACGTTATCGTCCTATACACATCAGCATGATTACTGGGATCCTATTGAAAGACAGACGTTATCATCCTATACACATCAGCATGATTACTGGGATCCTATTGAAAGACAGACATTATCGTCCTATACACATCCAGCATGATTACTGGGATCCTATATTGAAAGACAGACATTATCGTCCTATACACATCAGCATGATTACTGGAATCCTATTGAAAGACAGACGTTATCGTCCTATACACATCAGCATGATTACTGGAATCCTATTGAAAGACAGACGTTATCGTCCTATACACATCCAGCATGATTACTGGGATCCTATTGAAAGACAGACGTTATCGTCCTATACACATCGGCATGATTACTGAAATCCTATTGAAAGACAGACGTTATCGTCCTATACACATCAGCATGATTACTGGAATCCTATTGAAAGACAGACGTTATCGTCCTATACACATCGGCATGATTACTGAAATCCTATTGAAAGACAGACGTTATCGTCCTATACACATCAGCATGATTAGTGGAATCCTATTGAAAGACAGACGTTATCGTCCTATACACATCAGCATGATTACTGGAATCCTATTGAAAGACAGACGTTATCATCCTATACACATCAGCATGATTACTGGAATCCTATTGAAAGACAGACGTTATCGTCCTATACACATCAGCATGATTACTGGGATCCTATTGAAAGACAGACGTTATCGTCCTATACACATCAGCATGATTACTGGGATCCTATTGAAAGACAGACATTATCGTCCTATACACATCGGCATGATTACTGGAATCCTATTGAAAGACAGACGTTATCATCCTATACACATCAGCATGATTACTTGAATCCTATTGAAAGACAGACGTTATCTTCCTATACACATCAGCATGATTACTGGAATCCTATTGAAAGACAGACGTTATCCTCCTATACACATCAGCATGATTACTGGAATCCTATTGAAAGACAGACGTTATCATCCTATACACATCAGCATGATTACTGGAATCCTATTGAAAGACAGATGTTATCGTCCTATACACATCACCATGATTACTGGAATCCTATTGAAAGACAGACGTTATCCTCCTATACACATCAGCATGATTACTGGAATCCTATTGAAAGACAGACGTTATCATCCTATACACATCCAGCATGATTACTGGGATCCTATTGAAAGACAGACGTTATCGTCCTATACACATCGGCATGATTACTGGAATCCTATTGAAAGACAGACATTATCGTCCTATACACATCAGCATGATTACTGGAATCCTATTGAAAGACAGACGTTATCGTCCTATACACATCAGCATGATTACTGGGATCCTATTGAAAGACAGACATTATCATCCTATACACATCAGCATGATTACTGGAATCCTATTGAAAGACAGACGTTATCGTCCTATACACATCAGCATGATTACTGGAATCCTATTGAAAGTCAGACGTTATCGTCCTATACACATCAGCATGATTACTGGGATCCTATTGAAAGACAGACATTATAGTCCTATACACATCAGCATGATTACTGGGATCCTATTGAAAGACAGACATTATCATCCTATACACATCAGCATGATTACTGGGATCCTATTGAAAGACAGATGTTATCATCCTATACACATCAGCATGATTACTGGGATCCTATTGAAAGACAGACATTATAGTCCTATACACATCAGCATGATTACTGGGATCCTATTGAAAGACAGACATTATCATCCTATACACATCCAGCATGATTACTGGGATCCTATTGAAAGACAGACGTTATCGTCCTATACACATCAGCATGATCCTATTGAAAGACAGACATTATCATCCTATACACATCGGCATGATTACTGGAATCCTATTGAAAGACAGACGTTATCGTCCTATACACATCAGCATGATCCTATTGAAAGACAGACATTATCGTCCTATACACATCAGCATGATTACTGGAATCCTATTGAAAGACAGATGTTATCGTCCTATACACATCAGCATGATTCCTGGAATCCTATTGAAAGACAGACATTATCATCCTATACACATCAGCATGATTACTGGGATCCTATTGAAAGACAGACGTTATCATCCTATACACATCGGCATGATTACTGGGATCCTATTGAAAGACAGACATTATCGTCCTATACACATCAGCATGATTACTGGGATCCTATTGAAAGACAGACATTATCGTCCTATACACATCAGCATGATTACTAGGATCCTATTGAAAGTCAGACGTTATTGTCCTATACACATCAGCATGATTACTGGAATCCTATTGAAAGACAGACGTTATCGTCCTATACACATCAGCATGATTACTGGAATCCTATTGAAAGACAGACGTTATCGTCCTATACACATCAGCATGATCAGAATATAGAAACAATATGTTGAAGCATCTGATAAGAGTTTGATCAGTCGAAAAATATAATGTTATATACATTTATAGAAACAAATTAGAATGTCTATAATGATCTTGTGTGTACAAGTTAATATTTTCTCCTTTAGAGTTATGTTAATAGTACATTATAAGGTTTTGAAAAATGTAAAGTTCTATGGCCAAAAACAAATCATTTTCCTATAAGAAGATTCATCAATGTCTAGAAGAACAGTTCTTAAAGGAGGGGGTATAACACCTAAATTGCAAAAATAGTAAAATTCTTTGATGCCAAAAATGAATTTTATTCCTTCTCCTTTGTCTGAAAATGCTTTTAGGAGAAGATCCCTTTTTTTCTAGGCACAGAATAAAAGGAAACATACTGCAGATTCAGATGATGAGCCATCTGGCTCTGGTACCCCAGTCCCATCACTGAAGAAACAGTCAACCAGTCTCAGTTCCACAGCTTCGTCTGCAAAAAGTGAATCAGTACCTCCATTGAAGAAAACTAAATGTAAGGTTAACAAAGTTAGGATACAACTACAAAATAGTTATATATATAGAGTATAAGTTGAACAAAATAAGCATATAACTACAAGATAGTTATAAATATAATGTTTTGAGACATTTTTGTTTACCGAAAGGAATACACAAAAAGAAGTCACTAACTTTATAATGTGAATGTTCTCTGAGTATCCACAGCATACAGTATATAACAAGAGACATTTTGTTTGCCAGTCAGATATTGTGTTTTTTTCCATCAAAGTCATTTACAACTAGTTACATTTGTATGAAATGTTGCTATAAACACTTGTTACAGTTTCATATAATATACTAATGTTTTTTGTTTTTTTTCCCTCTTTTCATTTAAGTATTTAAAAAAAAAACTAGAATAAAATTTTATTTTTTCCAGAAAAAAATATGAAAATTCAGATATTTTTATAAACATGATTAGTGTGAAAATGTGACATGAATATCATGAATATGACAATAATAAAATCTTTCATTACAATGTTTGATTTAAAATATTCTATTACAATGTGTACATAATCCAACTCTTACTAAGGCTGAATATCAACCAGTGTCAAAGATTCACACAGTAAAGTCTATAGCTAGCTATGTAATTCTAATGAACTACACTTTATGATGCTTTCAGTAATTAAGTACAAGCGACTTAAGTTATGCTCAGTTTTCAGATTGGTTGTTTTAGTATAAGGTATGCAATATGAAATAGATTAATTAAAAAAACAATAGATAGGCTTTTTTGTACTTTGAAATACTCACTTTACACCATTTCATGTAGTCAATATGTCTATATTGATGAGTATTTAATGGGATTTTATGTCATTTTTAGCTGAACCTCCAAAGGAATCAGCAGTGAAAGCCTTTGGTAGATTAATGGAAGGTGTTGTGTTTGCTATGAGTGGGTTTCAGAATCCTTACAGAGCTGAGCTTAGACAAAAAGCAGTAGACATGGGAGCTGTATATAAACCAGACTGGGGGAAAGGATGTACTCATCTCATGTGAGTCTAAAGTCATCTAACTTATGTTTCTACTCATGTGATTTTATATTTATCTTACATAATGATGTTCTCATCTCATATTAGTTTGTATTCAGATAAATAGGTCTGTACTCCTTCTTATAAGATTGTATATTTTTCTATCATTTTTTTGGATTTTCCAAACCAAATGATTTAAACATGTAAAGTTTCTACAATGTTTTTCTAATCCGTATGTTTACAGTTTGTTTATTTGTAATCAGTATGTTTACAGTGGGTTTATTTGTAATCAGTATGTTAACCATGTGATTACTTGTAATCAGTATATTTACCATGTGTTTTTCTGTAATCAATATTTTTACAATGTGTGTTATTAATAATGAAGACCTGGAAACATTCACAACCACCTCACTGATATGCTGGTAATGTCCTCCTAAAAAATACAACAAATTTTAAAACCACAGAAAATGTTTGTGTTGTTTTGAAATTCAAGAGTAAATAATATAACCAACAAAAGCATCTTGGCATCATAAAATTTATTTTAAATCTTTTTAATGATTACCTCCCTTAGAATGTAAAAAAGTATTCTTTTGAATATAAGTCCCAGGTTAATTGTATGAGATTAATATACTGTGTGTAACTTCTGCTTTATCTGTTATATGTTCGAGAATTTTTCTATAAATAAAAAAAGAATTGAATTTGATATCAAATGTTTACCATAAAATACTTGTACCAGGTTCTTGTTGTTTTTCAGTTGTGCTTTCTCAAAAACACCTAAATATAACCAGGTCAGAGGTAAAGGAAAAATAGTAAAAAAAGATTGGATATTACAGAGTTATAAACAGAAGAAACTGATACCATGGAGACAGTAAGTGTTTACATTGTTGTCATGGAGACTTAATATTATAAACTTATATCACACAGAATGTCATTATTACTCAGACAATTCAACTTTACATCAAATTAAACAAACAACATCCAATTATTAAATTTACTTCTATACAGACAATTCAACTTTACATCAAATTAAACAAACGACATCCAATTAACTATACAGAAATACATGATGACCAATATTGTCAAAACTTTCTGTACAAATCAAGAGAATGACATTATGAATATAAGAATCAATGAGACAGCAACCCATCAACACAACCAAACAACTTCAAAAGGTCTACATACAATATTCAATAAAAAAAAAACTTTGGTCTTTTAAAATAGGTCAAGCCTGAGTCTAAATTTTTTTTCGATAAATTAAACAGACATTATCAAAGATGGGCCATCATCAATACCACATTATCAGAGATGGGCCATCATCAATACCACATTGTCAGAGATGGGCCATCATCAATACCACATTATCAGAGATGGGCCATCATCAATACCACATTATCAGAGATGGGCCATCATCAATACCACATTATCAAAGATGGGCCATCATCAATACCACATTATCAAAGATGGGCCATCATCAATACCACATTATCAGAGATGGGCCATCATCAATACCACATTATCAGAGATGGGCCATCATCAATACCACATTGTCAAAGATGGGCCATCATCAATACCACATTATCAAAGATGGGCCATCATCAATACCACATTATCAAAGATGGGCCATCATCAATACCACATTATCAAATAATGTCAAATGTCAGTACAAATGCATGTATATATTTTGCTGTATATATATATGCAATATAAGTATCTAATTGCCACAAAATCACAAGAAAATGATAGGGTTGAAAGTACAAATTTTCTATATTAAAGGATAACCATCAAGACATATTAATTAAATAAGTAACAAAATTGAGAATGGAAATGGGGAATGTGTCAAAGAGACAACAACCCAACCATAGAGCAGACAACAGCCGAAGGCCACCAATGGGTCTTCAATGCAGCGAGAAACTCCTGCACCCGGAGGCGTCCTTCAGCTGGCCCCTAAACAAATATGTATACTAGTTCAGTGATAATGGACGTCACACTAAACTCCAAATTATACACAAGAAACTAAAATTAAAAATGATACAAGACTAACAAAAGCCAGAGGCTCCTGACTTGGGACAGGCGCAAAAATGCGGAGGGGTTAAACATATGTTTATTTCACGGCTTAATTTTTGTGAATACTTGACAGTTTTTGTGCCCCCACCATAGCGGAGGGGGGCATTAAGTGTTACCTTTGTCCGTTCTGTCCATCCCATCTGTCTTGTCCGTCCTGTTCATCCGTCGCATTATAAAACTTATACACAATGCTTATTATCATAAATTTCTGATCAAGTTCCAAATTGGGTTGTGTCACTTTTACTGTTCATGAGTTATGCCCCTTTATAAACATAAAAAAATGCTGAGAATTTTTCGTTTCCGTTCTGTAACTTTAGTTTGCATCAACCAAATGTTTATGAAACTTATACACAATGCTTATTACCTCAAAACACAGATCAAGATTGAAATTGGGTGTCATCACTTATACTGTCTTGAATTAGGCCCCTCTTTAGATGGAACAATTGCTAAATCTGTCGTTTCTATTCTCTAACTTTTGTTTTCCTCTACCAAATGTTATGAAACTTATACACAATGCTTATAATCACAAAACAGTCATAACTACATGTATGTAAATCCTGCATCTGTATGTGGAAGTTGACTCATGCATATTTACAAGCAGGGGAATCTGTGGCCCATAGACACATTCTTCATTTATCTATAAACCTTTTAGTATTAAGACACAATTTTTACAGGCCGTTAATTTATAATTAATAAAAATGTTCATACTATATGCATACAGTTATGTTTCAAAGGGTATTTAATCAAATCTCACAACTTAAAGTGAAAATTAAACATTCAATGTAAAAAGACATTTTCAAAATGTTGTCTTTCAAACACTTTGTTTCTTACCAATCTTTATAAAACAAGGAGATGTGGTAAGATTGCCAACAAGACAACTATCCAATAGAGTCCAAATGATGTGGATTTAATCTTAATGGTCCAATTCAACTACTTCAATCTTTGTGTCCCAGAAAAAAGGGAAAATTATAGAAATATCAGTAAATCTAAATCTTTGGAAAATTATATAAATTCAGCTGTGACATATTTGTTAAAATTTGTAATTTAACTTTTTGGGGTCTGATACTTTACTCTGATATAAAGTGAAAATTATTTACTTCTACAATTACTAGTTATATGGTATTTAAATGAATAGCTTAAATTGTTATTTTAATGTTTTAAATGTATGATAGTCAGTATATATTTCTTTATTAACGTTTTGTTTGTAAGTTTTTACATTGATGATTAGTTAATTTGTTTATTTGTTTACATTATTGAACCTTAGTTACCGTCTTGGCGATGCTGACTCACCAGATGAATCCAGTACTGATGAAGATGTTTATGTTCCTAAAAAGTCTCCTCCAAAGAAAAAACCCTCAGAAACAAAATCACCAAAGAAAACCTCACATAAACCAAGCAAAGGTAAGCTGACCAAAGAAAACAACACCAAAACCAAGCAAAAGTAAGCCGACCAAAGAAAACCTCAGCTAAACCAAGCAATGGTAAGCTGACCAAAGAAAAAAACCTCACCTAAACCAAGCAAAGGTAATTAAGCTGAGCAAAGAAAACTTCACCTAAACCAAGCACAGGTAAGCTGACCAAAGAAAACCTCACCTAAACCAGAGCTCCAGATAAGCTGCATATTTGCGTGATCACGCAATAAAAATAATTAAAAACCCAATGCAATTGCCCATTGCAGGGTTCAATAACTCAATTAAGTCAAAGGAAAACCCAATTATATGCCAAAAACATGGGTTCTTAACGCTTTTATTCGCTATCGTTTGCATTATTTACCCTTACTTGATTACAGTCGTCGCGTAAATCTATTTTTATAATATTTATAATTGGAAATGTCCTTTCGTTCTAAAAATAGAGCCCTGCATCAAGTAGCTGTAATGGGTCCCTGTTGGAATTTTCCGTTGCTCAAAAGGTACACGTGTTTATGAAAACATTTCGATCTTCTCGGCGTTTATCCAATTAGCGTGTGACATGCTGTCATATTTTTTCGAATTGCTCGGGATTTATCATAACATACAATGAATTAAAACGAAAGTAAATGTCCGGTAAAAATATTGAATAGAAGCATGTTTTCGGCTTCTTTTTGATAGCTGAGGGAAAGTTATGATGATAACAAAACTCAGCTAGTGATTTTAGGAAGCGGCCATTGAACGCACGGGCGTGTTTGCGTACCATAACGAGAACATTGCTAGAGCGATAAACACAGGGTTCCGTCAAAAACGAAATCAGTTGGAAAAAGTGAAAGGCCAAATCAATTATGACATGATATGTAGTTTGAAAGCATCAGAAACCAAAAGTTCGGATAAGGGACAACTTAACCCAGATTTATGTAAATTGAATTAAACGAAAACAGTTTATATATTATTTTTTTTCATTTTAGTTGATGAGTGAATACATGCACATATCCGTTTTTTACCTCAATGCAGCTTGACACTTTCTTTGTTTTGGTCTAATTGTTCTAGATGCTTAAGATAGTTGTCTTATTGGCAAGTGCAGTATAACATTGTCATTTATTTACTTGATGTTGCAGGATTATTTGTAAATTTAAGTTGAATGTGGTCTCCGTCATTATAAACCACCCTATAAAACTCAAGGTTTTGGGGTATATCTTAAATCTGGAAACTACTTTTTATTTTTATTAAAAAGTAGATCTGGCAAATAGGTGAAAGGACTGGCAAAACTTTCTTACAGCACCTAAATTTCACATATATTACACAAAAATCTAAAAACTTAGCCACACCTACCCCAACTATAATTAAACTGTAGGGTGATCATATGGGATCTAGAAAGGCAATTAGTTCCTGTCCAACTAGTGACACCAGCTGCAGTTTACATAAGTTTTGAGAAAATACAAAACTGACAGAACGTTTAAAACGGGACACAAATGAAATGTACAATTGGTCGTCAGTGAATAAACCAAATAAAACAGCTAGCACATATTCTACAAAGAAAGAAACACATTTAAGATGGAAACACATATTGGGTTGATATAATGTGATTATAACATGCCTAAATATTCAATATTGTGTTGATGAAAAAACCCAATACATTAAGGAGCTTGGTGGTGAAAAACCCAATTTGATATTTGCTTGAGGGGTGAATTGGAATTGATAATGCAATTAAAAAACTTTATCACCCAATTACATAAAAAAATGGTGGGTAAAAACCCCAATTTGTGAATTCTTATCTGGAGCTCTGCCTAAACCAAACAAAGGTAACCTGACCAAAGAAAACCTCACTTAAACCAACCAAAGGTAAGCTGACTACAGAAAAACCACACCTAAACCAAACAAAGGTAAGCTGACCACAGTAAACAATACCAAAACCAAACAAAGGTAAGCTGACCCAGTAAACCACACCAAAACCAAACAAAGGTAAGCTGACCACAGTAAACCACACCTAAACCAAGCAAAGGTAAGCTGACCACAGAAAACTTCATCTAAACCAATCAAAGGTAAGCTGACCACAGAAAACCACACCTTAACCAAGCAAAGATAAGCTGACAACAGAAAACTTCATCTAAACCAAGCAAAGGTTAGATGACCACAGAAAACCTCACCTAAACCAAACAAAGGTAAGCTGACCAAAGAAAACTTCACCCAGACCAAGCAAAGGTAAGCTGACCACAGAAAACCTCACCTAAACCAAGCAAAGAAGCTGACCAAAGAAAACCTCACTGAAACCAAGCAAAGGTAGGCTGACAAAAGTAAACCTCACTTAAACCAAGCAAAGGTAAGCTGACCAAAGAAAACCTCACCCAAACCAAACAAAGGTAAGCTGACCACAGTAAACTACACCTAAACCAAACAAAGGTAAGCTGACCAAAGAAAACCTCACCCAAACCAAGCAAAGGTAAGCTGACCAAAGAAAACCTCACCTAAACCAAGCAAAATTAAGCTGATATCAGAAGACCTCACCTTAATAAAGCTAGTGTAAACTGACCAAACTAAAAACCTACTAAACCAAGCAAAGGTAGTTGACCAAACTAAAGACCACCTAAACCAAACAAAGGTAAGCTGACCACAGAAAGTCTCACTTAACCAAGCAAAGGAAATGAAATCTGACCACAGAAAAGCACACCTAAACCAAGTAAAGGTTAGCTGACCAAACTAAAAACCACCTAAACCAAGCAAAAGTAAACTGAGCAAAGAAAACATCAACTAATCCAAGCAAATATCAGATCATACATGTATTGATTTTATTTTTTAGAAGCAATGGACATGTCAGATTCAGGAGATGACACAGAAGATGAAGTTAGGAGGTATATATCTGTTGTCATGTGACTTAAGTTAGGAGGTATATATCTGTTGTCATGTGACTTAAGTTAGGAGGTATATATCTGTTGTCATGTGACTTAAGTTAGGAGGTATATATCTGTTGTCATGTGACTTTTTACATTACACCCAAAACCATACATCTGATTACAAATTTCTTTCATGTTGCTGAATCTGGTTTAATTTTATTTAAAAGTTTTAGAAGGTGTAATGTTTTAAAATCAATATTGCTGATGAAATTCCATTAAATCTGTGTTTAAGCTATGATTGAAACAAAAGATAATAGTATTATTAATATTTGTTTCAAGCATCCATTAAAGCGAAATATGGAAATAATAATTCTATATTAGCAGCCTGTGTGGTTAAATTTGTTGTAAGAATACGGTCAAAAACAATGTTTATATATTCTTGATTAGCAAGACAATCATTCAATCTCATTTTGAGTGTGTATGCATGTAACCTTTAATTTGACCTTTAGTTAAAGATGGGTAATGCATGTGCTCAGCATATTCATTACAATGTGTACTTATATATGGATTACAATCATATTACAGTTTTAAGTGTGTCACCTGACAGTATCCATTAAAGGCAACAGCCTGAGCTCAAACAAACTTGCACAGATTCTTCTCCAGACATGAAAATTTGCACTTGCTATTTATTAATTATTGCTCTTTTTGAATTTTTGATTTCCTGTACTAAGACCTGGACTCTACTTTTTTGGCCTATAGTTTTTAATGACAACAGTCTTCACACATCATACTTGGAAGATTTAACTTTTTATTTAAAATTTCAGATTGAGGTGACAAATCATTTTACATACTAAATACATAAAATGAAGAAAAATCATGCTACATTGCTAAGGTTAAATCAATTGAGTTATTGTTGATAATGTCTGTTTTATATCTAGGGTGAAGGCAAAGATCGATAATCCAAAGGGTTCATTGAAAAAAGATGATGATGATAATGATCCTTATAATGCTTCCACAGATGAAGATGCCCCATCATCATCCAAAAAGGAATCACCCATAAAGAATGGAGCCGTGGATGATGGAAATGACTCAGGTTTTCCTGAACTACCAGACTTCTTTAGGAAGAAACATTTCCTTCTGTATGGAGATTATAATGAGAGGACAAGACGTAGTATGGTACGATATATAACTGCATATGATGGGTAAGTAAATATAACAAGACGTACTATGGTACGATATATCACAGCATATGATGGGTAAGTAAATATAACAAGACGTACTATGGTACAATATATCACAGCATATGATGGGTAAGTCAGAAATAACAAGCGAATATTTTTAGTTTAATGAGGGTGTTTTGGACTTACTTCTCTTCAAATTAGATATATCTAGTAAAGAATGTTATTAATGAAATATAAGGGGGGCCATCCAGCTATCTTATTGATTTTTGTTAAAAGCATCTTTCTACTTGTCAGTATAATAGCATATTTTCTGTTTTAGTGGCTGTTTAGGCCACAACAAAGTTCATGTTATTTGGACCCCCTCTGGGCATTTTCTGTGTGAGCATGCTCATAACTGTTAATTAGTTTCCTATTGTCAACCTTAAATTAATGTGATAACTATATATTTATAATTACAGGGAGTTAGAAGATTATATGTCTGACAAAGTTAACTTTGTAGTCACTAACTCAGAGTGGGACCAGAATTTTGATGATGTAAGTACCAGTATATAGAGAAGGGGTTGAAGGGACCAGAGAGGTCGAGGTATGTCTTTGTTTCAAAAATTCCCTCGGACAGAATTCACCTCACCTTTACTTCCTTTTATCTACCAGTGATCAAGGCAAAGTTTTTGTGGTCAAGTCCGTATCTCAGATACTGTAAGCACTAGGTCAACTAGATTTGGTGTATGGAATGATTGTAAGATGTACATGTCTGTCTCGCAGAGTTCATCTAACCTTGACTTTACTTTCATGGTTCAATGGTCAACATAATTTTTCACAGGTTAATAGGTCTATATTTCAGACACTAAAAGCAATACATGCAATAGGTCAACTACATTTGGTGTGTTGAATTATTGTAAGATGTACATGTCCATCTTACAGGGTTCATCTGACCTTGACCTCATTTTAATGAATCATTGGTCATTGTTTAGTTTTCATGGTTATGTTCTTTTCTCAGATACTATAGGTAATAGGTAAACTATATTGGATGTATGAGTTTTGAGAATCAACTTCAGTTGAAAAATGTCATGAAAAATGTCACCAAAAGACATCTAGAGCTCACATTCACTTTTCTACAACCTTCAGTTATCTACACAGTATATCAAGCTCTAAAAAAGATATTAACAGGTAAATTCAGATAGGGGGGAAGTCCATTAAAACCTGATAAAACCAAACACTCGAAAATATCAACAAACAGAACAACTGGAAAACAACTGTCATATTCCTGACTTGGTACTGGCATTTCCAAAGAAAATGGTGGGTTCACCTGGTTTTATGGCTGGCTAAACCTCCCACATGTATGAATCTTGTTTATAGTTCTGTTTTATATGGACAAAATTGTGTGAGCAACCCAAACAGACATAATTGGTTAATGTGAAAATAAGTGGGATCCAGCAGCCAAAACTATGTAAATATACATCAGAAATAAACAGCACAACTTACTTAAACAATATGTTGAAAGTCTTAAAGATAAAGGTTTTAATAAAAGCATCACAGAAACTCAGGTCAGGTAAATGCTGTCAGACAGACATATGTACACCTTACAATTTTTTGTATACACAAAATATATTTGACCTATTGCTTGTGATGATTGAAAAACAGACCAAAACAAAAAAAACTTAACATTGACCTATGAACCATGAAAATGAGGTAAAATTCAAGTGATACCTGCCAAACAGACGTATTCACCTTACAATCATTCCATACACCACATATAGGTTACCTATTGCTTATAGTACTTGGAAAAACAGACCTAAACATAAAAACTTAATAATGGTATACAAATTGAAAATAACACGACTTCATGCATCCAAATCACACCTCTCCACCCATCGACCCATAGAATTTATATTTTAAGACCATCCTGTACTATTTATCGAATTGATACAGAATATTTACCTATTAGGTCTTGATACCCATGAACTTTTTAAGAAAACCATGGCTCATTAGTTTTTTGCTCAGACACTGATGAAATGAGTCTTGTGTAGCAGCTGCAAGCTCTTGAATATATAAGTGACCTTGCGTCTTTAAAGATATAAATGAATTTAATAAAGACTGTTTAAAGATCTCCCATTAATACCTAATATATAAACAAATAATTTAATGAGACAATTTTGATGTTTGCAGGCTTTAACAGACAATCCAAGTCTGATATTTGTAAAACCAATATGGGTAGCCAAGTGTCATGACAAATCGAAGTTTGTACCGTACCAACCCTATGTTATAATTCCAGTGGATGATGATGATTAGATCAACTTGTGACTGTACCATCCCTGTATAATACATCCGGCAGACCATGGTGACACCATTATTGTTAATGTTGGAACACATATAGCTGTGTGGTAGAGTTGTTTGCATTAGAAAAGATTGACATTTGGCAGTGGAATGATTCTCTAGCTAATACTTCATAATTTCTTTGTCAGGTGATATAATATAACACTATCTCTAGCTTATATATTAATTCTTAATAACTTTGTTGGGAGATATTGATGTTCATTTTAATAGAACAGAATACAATTGTTTTGGATAATGAACAAAACTATTTTTTATAATGTTCAGCCATTTTATGGTTACAAATTGTTAAAAAATGTCTTATTAGATTGTCTGTTCACTGTATAAATCTGACAGACTAAACAGATTTTCAACTTAATACACAATTATTTATTGTTAGTTTGTTATGGCTTGGACATTTCTGTTAACATATATATAGAATTCTTGTATTGCACTCTTGTTTTACTCAATGTTGTTAATCTTCAAAAATGCCAATGTAAATTGTTGTCAGCTTTTTATACCACCATATAAGGTTGTAATCGTGTAGTTTGTTGTTGTCTTGTGTAGGCAGGGGAAGTTATGTTTTAGTAATCAAACAATATAAAGTAATGTAATATCATGAATGTACCTTACGCTAAGAAAGTTTGGCGTTGATTTTTTATGGGTTCTTACTAAAGCTGTAAGGTCAACTCAAAAAGTATTAATACCTATATAGTGTTAGTCCTGTTTGGATTCATACACAAAACAAGGTTGAGTTTTATTTTTCTTTCTTCACATTTGCTCATTTTATGACCTCGAGTTTGGAATCTAATTTGACCAATCGATCATTTCTCTCTTTTATCCTGATTCAATGTGAATGAAAAAATATTTTGTCAATTCAAACTCCATCAAACAAACAAATCTGAAATAGATGTGTGTTGTATAACTGTTCAGCCAGTCAGAAATACCATTACATTCTAAATATAAATCAATAAAATGAGATGCTGGATATATCCGTCATCGAGACGCAATCCAACAAAACATACAACCCAAAGACATCTGTGGTCTGTTGGATACATGGCTGTGCTTCAGAAGACATCAAGGAGAAATAATTTATTTCGCTGCATCATTTTCTGCACAGAAAGTGTGCACATTAAAAACACTCGAGTCAGATAATACCTTTTCCTTCCATTGAAAAGGAATCTGCATTTTAAATCATAATCACAATTTTCAAAGGCTTGTAATTGGGTGTTTTTTTGTTAGGACTCAATACAAGAGGCTTTTTCAGGGGGATACAAAGATATTTGAGCTTTCTGTTGTGTCTCCCAGTATTGGTCAATAAAAAAAAAACAGATTTTAATAATGAATTATGACATGCTTTGCTATAAATAGTAAGGACTATTAATTGAATACATACAATCTTTCTTGAATGATGATATAAATAGTGGATCTAGCCTACAAGTAAAAATGTCATTTTTTCGTTTTTTCAATTTTTTTTCTCTGTGAATTGTTGTATCACACTTTGAGAAGCATTATTTTTTTGTCTATGTATGTTAAAACACACCAATACATAATACATCTGACTTCTTTCAAACTAAAGTGCATCATATTCTTTTCAAAATTTGATGTAAAAAGATAGCTATTCATTAAATCTTAGATTTTGACTGATACTTATACAAGACCATTATAGGAAGGCAGCTAATTTAACCAATAGGAATTTAATGTATGTGTAATTATTTGAATTATTCGAAACTTATTGATGCTTTTGAAAAGTTTCTTTACATTTGTATGTTATAGATATTTTTTATATTAAATAAACTAAAAGAAATGTCTGACTTTCTTTTTATATCATTAATTAGCCATGATTAACATGTTTAAGGTTCGTTATAATATTTGGGAAAATATGGTCATATTTACACCTCACAATTAATTCTGAGTACAGACAAACCTGCAGAATTGGAAAAAGTTCAAGGTTGAAAGTTATGATGCATTTTTTGTTTCAGAAAATAAGAAAATTTCCTGAATTTTGATGTGAATTTTTATCTCACCTTGACGCAGTCAAAAAGCTAGATATAGGTATACTGTTTCCAGCACCAGCGGCATCAAAAATGTATTTGTTTGTCATTAGGTTAGTTAGTGGTAGGTCAATGATATTTGGTATGCAGTTGTATTAACATTGGCACATCTCATTTCCATGGAGATTATTTTGCCTCGCCCCCTCAGTCATGGTCTATTGACTTAAAACTTTTCCTTAATTAACATGTATTAGTTTGTGATTAGATCAGTTTATTGGGAACCACTAGTGGTAGTTCAATGATAATTGGTATGCAGTTGTATTAACATTGGCACATCTCATTTCCATGGAGATTGTTTGGCCCGGCCAACTCAGTAATGGCTTATTGAGTTGTTACGGAATATGGCAATTGTTATCAAATAGTTCGTTTCTATGTATGTTGGTGTTTGTTTTTGTTGCACTTCAGTGTTTATGTTGTTCCGTTGTTTTCCTCTTGTGGTTGATGTGTTTGCTTCGGTTTGGGTTTGTAACCCGGATTTGTTTTTGATGTGTTTCCCTCGGTTTGGGTTTGTTACCCGGATTTGTTTTCTCTCAGTTGATTTATGACTTTTGAACAGCGGTATACTACTGTTGCCTTTATTTACATGTATTTGCCTGTGATTAGGTCAATTTATTGGGAACCACTAGTGGAAGGTCAATGGTATTTGGTATGCAGTTGTTTTAGTATTGGCACATCTTATTTCTATGGAGATTGTTTGGACCTGTACCTTCAGTCATGGTTCATTGACTTTGAATATTTTGCATAATTATGATGAAGCTCAAGGAGAGAAGAAAATGTAACCCGGTAATGGACCATAAGGGATAATAAAAGAAATAGCTCATGAAGGTTATCTGGTTAAAAAAAACAAAAAATCAGATTCTACCGATTAACTTTACAATGGACCTGACATGAATGAGGAAAATAATCATGATAATTTGGTGTTTAACATCCAGTGGCAAATATTACATGGATATCAGGATATCAGGAATTCAGAACAAGAGCATGTCAATTTTCAATGTGCTGGTTCACGAAGAAGGCATTTTACATCCAGTGGCAAATATTACTTGGATGTCAGAAATTCCGGACAAGAGCATGTTATTTTCAATTTGCTAGTTCACAAGGAAGGCCTTTAAGTTGCACTTCTATAGATGTAGACAATACAATTTCCCATTGGAACTCCTTTTATGGCTAAAACTGTACAACTTTTACTATGAAGTTTCGTAAAAAATTATATCCTAGAATGGAAAATTCATATGCACTACTATTTTTTCAAAGGTCAAACAAGTGAAACTGTGAGCTACTGCTCACTGATGATAGCCCCGCCTGCCAAGGAAGTTGTTGAGTGATGAATCTGAAAACGCATCACATGGTATAGCTGACTTATTCAAACCCTGAAACCAAATTTCAGAAATCCTTATGATGTAGTTCCTGAGTAAGATGCAACGAAAAATATTCATGGGACAGACGGACGGACTGATGGACAGACATAGGTATAGCGGGGGTATAAATATAGGGCTGTGAGGCATATTTTCAACATTAATATGCACTGAACTTTCAAGAGTTTAAACTAATACTAAAATTCTGTACTACACTTCTCTCAGTTTGGGTCTTCCTCAGAATTCAATTTTTGCTGCTACAGTGTGTATTTATACTGGTCCTAAGTTATGTCTCTAAGAGATGAAACAAAGAGATGATAGCAGGGAACCAGTAGGTAAACAAAACAAAATATCTATGAATATTATATATCTCCCCAAAAGAGGCCATGGTTTGTGAAACCCCTGTATTTATAAAATGCACCACACAACCTTGTCACATTATTCTTACTCTAGGCTGACCAGTCTTTACTCTTACTCCTAAATGATGGTTTCTTGGTGGTGAAGCAGCAAAAGCCAATTTTGAAATCTTTGGTTTGATCTGGCTAGGTGCATAAATGTAGAGTGAATTACAATACACTGCAGTTAACACTGCACAAATAGATCATAAAAGCTTACAAATAGATCATAAAAGTATTAATACCTATATATTGTTAGTCCTATTTGGATTAATACACAGAAACAAGGTGGACTTTTATTTTTCTTTCTTCCCATTTGCTCATTGTATTACCTCTAGTTTGGAATCTAATTCGACAAATAGATCATTTCTCTCTTTTATCCTGATTAATGCTGACTTTTCCATTCATGCTATGATCTTTCCCCTGTTCAAATATACTCTTTTATGTGGGGGTTTATGAGTCAGCATTAATATCCCTAATGTGCCACTTTAGTTTAAGCAGAAAATACTAAATCTACCAATGAATTAGCAATGGTGAACTTGGGCATCACATGACATTAAATTAAAATAATACAGCAATAACACTTTATTACATTTGTTTCTTTCTAAATAAAAAACAATAACAAAATCCACCAACATTGGTATACTAGTCCATAAACATGACTACACCAAAACTGACTCAAATCATAAACTACTTCAAACATTTACATATGTCTGGTTAACATGAAACTTCACAAACATCACATCAAACAAATATGTGGTAAACTGGTCTAAAGTCTGAAATTTAAAATTAAATGAAAATTGATTATTTCTTTTTTATTTGACTGCTTTAATGATCAAATAGAGACTCTAAAGAGCCTGTGTCACTAACCTTGATGTGCATCTTCAACAATGGACACTCTCCAACATTATAGATTAGAAAGAAATAGATGACAAAACTCTCTTTATTGTTGATCTCGTATTGCTGATAATTTTTTTCAGTTTAAATTCTTTAGTTTTGGCCACATACATAAAAAAGGGTAAAAAAATCATCATTTAAGGGCAATCACTCCTAAAAATAAATCTTTAAAAAAATACTAAAGATTTCAGCAAAATTTGACTTATATTTATCTTTTGTCTTGCTGATCACTTTTGTTATATATATATATTCATGATTACTCTAAATATCAGCACAACAATGTTAAATCTTGCCGGGATTCGAACTATATATCTTTTATAGTTTTCAAGATAATAGGTAAAAAACACAAATAATTAGTAAAAATCTTCTTTAAAAACAAGAACTACAATAAGGACTGGACTGACGAGTTCAGATCTTGACTTATATGAGTACCTTGCTGATCATTTCTGCTGTTCAAAGTGTCTGTTTATCTGTTATAGTTTTCAAGATAATAGGCAAAAAAACGATGATGAGGAAATACAATGGACGACGGACACCAAGTGATGAGAAAAGCTCACTTGGCCCTATAGTTGAGCTAAAAAGGAATATGATTACGTTGTACTTTTTACATAAATAATTGCCTATAAATAATGCTATATATGCTGTATATTAAAAATATTTTTAATAAAGTGTAAATGAATACTTGATGATATAAAATACAAATAAAATTATAAATAAAAGCCCCAACCTTGTAAGCAATGAAAAAATATATATTTCTTTTGATACAATACAATCAAGAATAATCAAATTTAATAAATAGAAAATTAACTGTGCATGTGGGCTGTGTCTTAAGATATTCAAATTCTGATGTGCTGGTTATACATATATAATAAACAGCTGCATGAAGAGTGCATGATACATCCTTATTATGAAATTGTTGCGAGAATAAAATGGGATACTTTATCATGAGCAAATAAAATTGGTTCTGTAGAAAGACATGCCTGAGGATACCATTTTTTAAATCAAATGGTTAGTTATGTTCACCGATTCCATCAATTATGCCAATTTTCCAAAGAATCATTCCAATCAAACTCACGTTATGGTACAATAAACGGCTGCGCCATGACGCATGATACGCCCGTCCCATTTTCGAAGAATAAAGTTCAATAACTTCTCAATGTCATATCAGAAATTTATGAAACACTAAAGGGAGGTTATCTTAATAGATATAAATCAGTCACCATAGTTTAATCAAAACTGCCCAAAGCACTTTAAAGATAATGTCAGAAAACTAGAAAACACCCCTTTTTTATGAATAAAATTCCATAACTCAGAAATTCAAAATCGAAAATATCTAAAAATCGAATGGGAGCGAAAGACAACAGATATAAACAATTTACCAAAGTTTCATGAGAACTCCTGAAAGCATTTTTGAGCTATTGTGCGAAAAATGGAAAATCCCCCCTTTTTTAATGAAGAAAACCTCATAACTTGGAAACGTAAAATCTAAAATTTATAAAAATCTACAGGGAGCTCATGTCAAAAGATATAAACCAAAATTTCTTGCAAATTGGTGAAAGTATTTTTGAGTTATTGTTCGAAAACTGGAAAATCCCCCTTTTTTTAATGAATAAAACCCCATAACTAGGAAATGTAAAATCCAAAATTTATAAAAAACGAAAGGGAGCTCACATCAATAGATATGAATAATTCACCAAAGTTTCATGCAAATTGGTTAAATCGTTTTTGAGTTAATGTCCGACATGTTGACGACAGACAGATGGACAGACAGACGGACAACGGTATACCATGATACCTCCTGTAAACGGGCGTATAATAAGTGAAAAATTTACTATAATCTGACAATCAAAGTCACTGTTAACAGATGGATGGAAGGACATTGGTATACATACAATACGTCCTGTCTTAGATGGCCGTATATAAATAGAGACAAAAGGTTGTGGATGTAAACAGCTGAAGTTCGCCCTACAGCCTTAAACAATGAGTAAAACTCATACGGTAAGCTATAAAAGGTCCTAAGGTAGCTAAATTATAACTTACAGTAAATGAACTAGATACTTAATATTAAGTGGAAACAATCATCTCCCTCAGAAATTTATACATTTCTTCAGAAATTAATCTACTCTTAAATATTTTGTGATATTAGATGACAGTTCAAACCTCAAATAATAGGGTGATGCCTTAAAACCTAGCATGTTTAAATTCATATCTTATTTCTGTGTTCTCATCCTCACTATGCATGTAATATTCTGTTTTAAGGTGATTTTGGTAGGAAATTAAGAGATATTCCATTATAGAACTTTGATTCAACATCAAATTTCCTTAGTTGATATCATGAGAAAATTATTTAGTCTGTGACATTATTTACTTTCTGTGACCGGAGCAAGTTTTAAAAACCTACTGTTTTCCTTAATGAAAAGTTCATGTATAAATTTAGTTAATTGATTTCCAACATAAAGCAAACAAAAAAAAGACAGTTGTCTATAAAACAAGTTTTAAGTAAAAGGGACTATCAAAATATTTATCAAAATCTCTTTATTGATGTAAAATAAGTTTAAGGAATATATTGTCATTTAAAAAAAACTTGAACAAAGTCCAAAGATTTACATGCATACAAGTAATTAGTATGGAGGAAAATACCTACGAAACTTGGAATGGTTTAATTATAAAATTTTTCATTATAAACCTAATAAACCGGGACTGAACTGACTTAAGAGACCACTTCTAAAATGTATAAGCTTCTTATTATGGCATCAATGCCTATCTATACCCATATACTAAGGAAGTTATATCCTCTATACAAGATTTAAAACTAAAAAGATTAAATCAACCCTAGTCTGGTTTCAGTAAATAATACTAAATATAACATTCTCCGACCATTGCCATTGTATATAAACAGTTATATATTATGCAATCATTTATGGAATGTGTCAACATGAACTAAATCTTACAAATACATCACAGTAATTCTTATCACAACATGGAAGATCATTATCACAACACAGATGACTCTATTTACATAGGTATTGTAAAAAATCTTTTCAGAAATCAAATGTAAGTTTTCATCCCAATCAAATACAAAACAACAATGTTTCCTCTGTACTTATACTAACAAATGTACAACAAACAATGTAACAGAACAACAATTAATGTAAAATAACAAAAAACAATGTAATGTAACAACAAACAAGGGGCCCTGGGCTCCCAGACTAGACAATGATTGGAGTGGACCTTGTAAAAAGTCTATGCATTAACACCCCCACCCTCTAAAAAACAAAACAAATCCACCTCTGACAAACAATGGAACATGTACAACAAACAATGTAACAATTAACACAGATATATATATGTTCTTGACCATATGAGTATTTGACCATACATGTATGGTCATGACCCTATGCGTATATAATCATACAGTCCAACCATACACGTATGGTCCAGGTAATTAATACTATGAATGTTGAACAGTAATTGCATAAGGTATAACCCTTCAAGATTTCATAAATTAAGATTTAGACTCAGATAATAACTTGGTAATCATTGTAACATGATTAATAAAATAAGATGAATGATAGCACAGTCACAAGTTTTAAAATTTTTTCGTAGAAGTATTTTTGCATGGTCATTATTAATTAGTCTTTACGAAACACAATATGTCAACTCAGAAAATAACTAAAAGAACTGTAAAGCAATAAGTTAATTGGAGCATTGAACCCTCCTTTTTTTCTTTATTTTGGTGTTTCAATTTGTTTTTTTGTAAACTAAAATTTCTTAAACATTTCAAATTATTTTTAGTTATCAAATTTGTTTATGCTCCTCTTTATACAATTACAGTAGTTTATAGTGCTGTCCCTCTATTCTTATGTAGAAACCACTGTTATTGTAAGATCGCATGAATAAGAGTATGATATATTCGAACACATCAGTGAAGTGAAAATAAGTTGAAATTAGAAGATTTTTAAGAAAATCTAACCTAAACGCTGGGGAATAAGAAAAAAAAATGTCCAAAACAAATATAAAGGATTTCATTTAATAACTTGTGACAATGAGCTGTGTCTCTTAAGGAAGTTTGAATTAATTCAATAAATACCTATTTGGTCTAAATACTCATATGGTCCACCCTGTTAATATCCAAATGAGTATAAATTCATATTGTCAGACCATATGTTTACGGTCCAAATACTCATATGGTCCAGAACATATATAATTACTTGACAACTCATTCTAACATGTAGGAGTATTTAAATCAGATCTATTAATACCATAATCTCTGGGTATCAAAACAACTGTGTAAGAATGTTACCATGTATGGATGACCTCTCTGAGGGAAAGGTAACTCCAGTCTGATAAGGAATTACACATTGTGTTTCCTTATGTCATCCTATGGTTGATTTACCACTTTACACTGGTAACAAATACACTAAAAATTTAGTTAAAAATAAACCATTCCTTTGATTTGATAATACAGTCAACAAGTTAACAGGTATAACAATGGCAAGAAAAATACTATAACACAACACTACATCAGACAGTTTACAGCATACATGTATATAATGTACATTTTCATATTGCACTTGTATATGGTATTATAAATGTGACTACACCATTGTGTAAACTTTTAAACAAAGGTTAAATATTTTTAAAAGAGAGTAAATCATCAATTGACATTTTAAAAAGTGTATTTCACAATCATTACTGACTCATTAAACACATCACTTATCTTTTCTGATTGGAAATTCTAAATTGTGAAAATACATCCAATATTCTTGTCAATTTGAAATATGATAACATTATACACTGGACTAAAGCAGAATTATTGAGTACAGGTTCTGTAATAATTTTTATTGTTTCTCAGTTTTATTTCTATTTTTCTAGTATTACTAACATCAAAAGGGCAAATGTTCATATTAATATATTATTTATCTTCTATGTTAACATTTCTGTTATAACCCAATTAAATCTAAGCCTAACAATGTCTTAGATCTCCCTACAAAGGTGGGGCATAAAAATTAGAGAATAATGTCAAAAAAGAAACAGATTCTGCATGAAATCTACTACTTTAAAACATGAGATCATTTATACACAGAAATTATGCATTGCAGTTACTGTTTAAAAACAATGTCAAATATCAGATGAAAACGACTTTCTCGAAATTTCTTTTGTTTCTGATGGAATGAAGAAAAACACAGATGCTGCTGCTGAGAAGATAAATGCTCCCCAACCAAAACCATAAGTCCAGTCAAAGTCCCAACGTCTCACATCCTCATGTACCATTATCTCCTCCTTAAACTTCACAGGGTATATTATCAGGGCCAATATGTCTGACAAAGCTGAAAAATATCAAAATACATATAACGGGGATATAATTAAGGCTAATATGTCTGACAAAGCTGGAAAATACCAAAATACTTGACAGTATAGATAATCAGGGGCAATATGTTCAACAGAGCTGAAAAATATCAAAATACATAAAAGGGGAGATAATTAGGGCTTACAAATATGTCTGACAAAGCTGAAAATATCAAAATACTTCACAGGGTAGATACGCAGGGATAATACGTCTGAAAGAGCTGAAAAATATCAAATTACTTGACAGGGTAGATAATCAGAGCCAATATGTCCGACAGAGCTGAAAAATGTAAAAATACAAAAAAGGAGAGATAATCAGGGCTAATGTGTCTGACAAAGCTAAAAAATATCAAAATACTTAACAGAGTAGATAATCAGGGCTAATATGTCCGAAAGAGCTGAAAAATACCAAAATACTTGACAGGGAAGATAATCAGGGCTAATATGTCCAACAGAGCTGAAAAATATCAAAACCTTTACAGGGTAGATAATCAGGGCTTTACATAGCGATATTCAAACATGTGTTATGAATAATGGTTGGATATCTGATGTCTTTAAAAACACCAGGGGTATACGCCAAGGATGTCCTTTATCTGCATTATTATTTGTTTTATCTGTGGAAATCATGGCTTCAAGATTAAGAAGCAATACTGATTTTAAAGGTATCAGAATCAAATTAGATTGCAAAAATCATAGTATAAAAATTTCGCAACTAGCAGATGATACTACTTTATTTTGTTGTTCTAAATATGATGTTCAAGTTGCTATGAACGAAATTGAAATTTTTGGTTCTTATTCAGGATTGAAATTAAACAGAAATAAAACAGAGGGGTTATGGGTAGGAAAGCTTAAATCATGTAAAGACAAAATTGAGGGAATCAACTGGAGCAATGGACCAGTTAAAACTCTTGGTATATACTTTGGGCATTGTAGAGAGGAATGTGAAAAACTAAATTGGGAAAATAAAATTGAAAAGATGAATAAATTATTTTGTGCTTGGCAAAAAAGAAATCTTACTATTTTTGGAAAAATTTTGATTATCAAAACACTAATTGTGCCCATTTTTACTTTTGTGGGATCTGCCTGCATAGTTCCAGAGAAATATTTAAAAGAAATAGAAATAAAATGCTTCGCTGGGCGCAGCTTGATACGACCGCAGAGGTCGAACCCTGAACAGTTGGGGCAAGTATGGACACAACATTCAAGCTTGATACAGCTCTGAATTTGGATTGTGATTAAATATTTGACACAGCATAGGTTTCTGACACAGAAAGAATGTGGTCTAAGAACTTCAATTTTTTTAATTTACCTATTCAGCATATCAAAGAACCCCAAGAATTCAATTTTTGATGAAATCAAACAAAGTTTAATTTTGGACCCTTTTGACCTCAATGTGGACAAAGTTGATAACTGGGCCCAAAAATCAAAAATCTAAATACATGGTTAGATTCAGCATATCAAAGAACCCCATATATTCAATTTTTGTTGAAATCAAACAAAGTTTAATTTTGGACCCCGATTTGGACCATCTTGAAACTGGGCCCATAATCAAGAATCTAAATACACGGTTAGATTCGGCATATCAAAGAACCCCAATAATTCAATTTTTGTTAAAATCAAACTAAGTTTAATTTTGGACCCTTTTGACCTTAATGTAGACCAATTTAAAAACGGGGCCCAAAATCCAAAAACTTAATACACGGTTAGATTCAGCATATTAAAGAACCCCAAGAATTCAAGAATAAAACCCCATTGAAATTGATCAAGAAATAAGCAATTTATACGAAGTATCTTCTTTTGCACAATACTGTGCAATTGAATATTTCTTGCTATTGTGCAATACTGTACAATTGACAATTTCTAGCTATTGCGCAATATTGTGCTATTGGATATTTCTTGCTATTGCGCAATACTGTGCAATTGAAGATTTCTTGCTATTGCGCAATACTGTGCAATTGAAGATTTCTTGCAATTGTGCAATACTGTGCAATTGAAAATTTCTTGCTATTGCACAATACTTATTATATAATAATTTACACATCCTGTTTGGTGTGTAACTCCTACCATATCATTATTATTTGCTTTTAAATATTAATCAGAAATAACCAACTTAAAATGGAAAATTTTAAAAGAAAAAAAAAAGGAAAAAAAGAAAAAAAAAGAAAAAAAAAAAATCCCCCCCCCAAATTTTTTGAACTCCCTTATGATTCATCACCCCCAAACTCAATCCCAGCCTTCCCTTTGTGGTATGGTACCTTGCAGTACAATTTCAGAGAGATCCATACACTTGAACACAAGTTATTGTCTGGAAACTAGAAAAATGCTTATTTTTGGCCCCTTTTTGGCCCCCAATTCCTAAACGTTTCAGGCAATTACCCCCAAACTCAATTCCAGCTTTCCCTTTGTGATATGGAACCTTGTAGTACAATTTCAGAAATATCCAAACACTTACACACAAGTTATTGTCATGAAACTAGAAAAATGCTTGTTTTTTGCCCCTTTTTTGGCCCCTAATTCCTAAAATTTTGAGGCAATTACCCCCAAAATCAATTACAGCCTTCCCTTTGTGATATGGAACCTTGTGGTACAATGTCAGAGAGATCCATACACTTACACACAAGTTATTGTCTGGAATTACAAAAATGCTTATTTTTGGCCCCTTTTTGGCCCCTAATTCCTTAACTGTTGGTACCATAACCCCCAAAATCAATCCCAACCTTCCTTTCGTGGTATTGAACCTTATGGTAAAATTTCATGGAGATCCATTCACTTAAACTAAAGTTAGAGTGCGAAAACCAATGTGTCTTCGGACGACGCCGGACGACGACGACGACGACGACGACGACGCCAACGTCATACCAATATACGACCAAAAAATTTTCAATTTTTGCGGTCGTATAAAAAGTTGTTTTAAATTTGTTTGGGATAATAAACCAGATAAAGTAAAAAGAAATTCAATTATTGGTCCCTAAAAAAAGGGGGGATTGGATATGATAGATATAAGGAGTTATTTCACTGCTTTAAAAGCTATGTGGGTAAAAAGACTAGTAAATGATTGTGAAGGAGGTTGGAAAATTATAACTCAGCACTTTTTTTTTATAATTTTGGGTCAAACTGGTTAGTGTTTCAAACAAACAGTGGGGATAAGCCAGACGAAAGCATTGAACACATCCCAGATTTTTATAAAGATATCATTAAATGTTGGAAATTAACTGGTGGAGGTCTAACAAAAAAAACCGAAACATTTACAGATATAAGAAAACAAATATTATGGAACAATAAATTTATTTAATTTGAAAATAAAACTATATTTTAAAAAAATTGGATTAAAAGTGATCTTATTTATGTAAATGATATCATAGATGAAAAAGGCTGTATTTCTCAAGACATAATTTTAAATAAACTAAAAAATAAATCAAACTGGATAGCTGGTATTAATTTAGTAAAGAAATCAATACCAAAAGACTGGGCAGCAATTTTAAAATCGGAAAATTCTGTAAAAAGTATTGTTAATATAAAAAGAAACCAATTTATATTGGAAGGTTTACCTATAAAATTAGAATCACTATCAAATGAATTTTTATATAAGTCTCTGATAAATAAAAAATTTGAACCAGCTATCGGACCAAAAAAATGGCTGCGTATATTTGATATAGATGATGTGTTATATCAAAACAATCTATATAAATTTTTATTCAGATAAGGAAAATTAATTAAGAATTTTTAGATGGAAATAACTACAACATATTCTACCTACAAAGAAACTTTTATGCAGGTGGAAAATTATAAACAATAGTTCTTGTAATTTTTGTACACAAGAAGAGGATTATGATCACTACTTTATACTGTGTTCGTATTTAAAACTTTTTTGGAATAAAATAAATGAAGTTTTAAAGAACAGTAAAATAACTTTTAAGATAAAACTAAGACACTTGGTATTTGGATATAAATTTTTTGACGAAGAATATTTTGACTTTAAACTATTTTTTAACGATTGTTGGCTTTTCAATTTACAAAGCCTATTACATATCTGATCAAAAGACAAAAAATGTCAATGTTTTCTTAATTTTTCTCAATGAGTTCAATAGAAGAGTATGTTTGAAAATTAAAAGTAATATTTTAGCAACTATTAGAAAACATATGAATAGTCATATTAAGTGATATTATTTAATATATATTTGATGTACAAATGTAATATGTATTTTACAACTAATCACTACCCTGAGTGATTAGTGGATTGTAACAGGGAACATCAGGAGGAGCTTGGACTCCTGAAGGATATTGTAACAAGCCAATATTTGAAATAAATATTTAATTATGTTGTTAAAAAAAAAAAGATAATCAGGGCTAATATGTCTGACAGAGCTGAAAAATACCAAAATACTTGACAGGGAAGATAATCAGGGCTAATATGTCCAACAGAGCTGAAAAATATCAAAACCTTTTCAGGGTAGATAATCAGGGCTTTATATAGCGATATTCAAACATGTGTTATGAATATTGGTTGCATATCTGATGTCTTTAAAAACACCAGGGGTATACGCCAAGGATGTCCTTTATCTGCATTATTATTTGTTTTATCTGTGGAAATTATGGCTTCAAGATTAAGAAGCAATACTGATTTTAAAGGTATCAGAATCAAATTAGATTGCAAAAATCATAGTATAAAAATTTCGCAACTAGCAGATGATACTACTTTATTTTGTTGTTCTAAATATGATGTTCAAGTTGCTATGAACGAAATTGAAATTTTTGGTTCTTATTCAGGATTGAAATTAAACAGAAATAAAACAGAGGGGTTATGGGTAGGAAAGCTTAAATCATGTAAAGACAAAATTGAGGGAATCAACTGGAGCAATGGACCAGTTAAAACTCTTGGTATATACTTTGGGCATTGTAGAGAGGAATGTGAAAAACTAAATTGAGAAAATAAAATTGAAAAGATGAATAAATTATTTTGTGCTTGGCAAAAAAGAAATCTTACTATTTTTGGAAAAATTTTGATTATCAAAACACTAATTGTGCCCATTTTTACTTTTGTGGGATCTGCCTGCATAGTTCCAGAGAAATATTTAAAAGAAATAGAAAAAAGTTGTTTTAAATTTGTTTGGGATAATAAACCAGATAAAGTAAAAAGAAATTCAATTATTGACTCTATAAAAAGGGGGGAATGGATATGATAGATATAAGGAGTTATTTTACTGCTTGAAAAGCTATGTGGGTAAAAAGACTAGTAAATGATTGTGAAGGAGGTTGGAAAATTATACCTCAGCGCTTTTTTTTTTATAATTTTGGGTCAAACTGGTTAGTGTTTCAAACAAACAGTGGGGATAAGCCAGACGAAAGCATTGAACACATCCCAGATTTTTATAAAGATATCATTAAATGTTGGAAATTAACTGGTGGAGGTCTAACAAAAAAACCAGAAACATTTACAGATATAAGAAAACAAATATTATGGAACAATAAATTTATTTAATTTGAAAATAAAGCTATATTTTAAAAAAATTGGATTAAAAGCGATCTTATTTATGTAAATGATATCATAGATGAAAAAGGCTGTATTTCTCAAGACATAATTTTAAATAAACTAAAAAATAAATCAAACTGGATAGCTGGTATTAATTTAGTAAAGAAATCAATACCAAAAGACTGGGCAGTAATTTTAAAATCGGAAAATTCTGTAAAAAGTATTGTTAATATAAAAAGAAACCAATTTATATTGGAAGGTTTACCTATAAAATTAGAATCACTATCAAATAAACTTTTATATAAGTCTCTGATAAATAAAAAATTTGAACCAGCTATCGGACCAAAAAAATGGCTGCGTATATTTGATATAGATGATGTGTTATATCAAAACAATTTATATAAAGTTTTATTCAGATATTTAAAAGAAAATAAACTTAGAATTTTTAGATGAAAATTACTACAACATATTCTACCTACAAAGAAACTTTTATGCAGGTGGAAAATTATAAACAATAGTTCTTGTAATTTTTGTACACAAGAAGAGGATTATGATCACTACTTTATACTGTGTCCGTATTTAAAACTTTTTTGGAATAAAATAAATGAAGTTTTAAAGAACAGTAAAATAACTTTTAAGATAAAACTAAGACACTTGGTATTTGGATATAAAACTTTTGACGAAGAATATTTTGACTTTAACTACTTTTTAACGATTGTTGGCTTTTCAATTTACAAAGCCTATTACATATCTGATCAAAAGACAAAAAATGTCAATGTTTTCTTAATTTTTCTCAATGAGTTCAATAGAAGAGTATGTTTGAAAATTAAAAGTAATATTTTAGCAACTATTAGAAAACATATGAATAGTCATATTAAGTGATATTATTTAATATATATTTGATGTACAAATGTAATATGTATTTTACAACTAATCACTACCCTGAGTGATTAGTGGATTGTAACAGGGAACATCAGGAGGAGCTTGGACTCCTGAAGGATATTGTAACAAGCCAATATTTGAAAAAAATATTTAATTATGTTGTTAAAAAAAGAAAGATAATCAGGGCTAATATGTCCGACAGAGCTGAAAAATACCAAATTACTTGACAGGGAAGATAATCAGGGCTAATTTGTCCGACAGAGCTGAAAAATACCAAAATACTTGACAGGGTAGATAATCAGAGCTAATATGTCCGACAGAGCTGAAAATTATCGAAAACTTTACAGGGTAGATAATCAGGGCTAATATGTCCGACAGAGCTGAAAAATATCAAAAAACTTGACAGGGAAGATAATCAGGACTGCTATGTCTGACAGCTGGAATATCTATACTATTTACAAGAACTATATTTGGCATAAAAAATATCATCAAATGACATTTTTTTTTCTTCCATTTAACTTTATAGGTTATATACCCGCTGCATTTGTTTGCACCTGTAAATGTCCTAAGTCAGGAGTCTGATGTTCAGTGGTTGTCGTTTATTGATGTGGTTCATAAGTGTTTCTCGTTTCTCGTTTTTTAAATAGATTAGACCATTGGTTTTCCCGTTTGAATGGTTTTACACTAGTAATTATTGGGCCCTTTATAGCTTACTGTTCGGTGTGAGCCAAGGCTCCGTGTTGAAGACTGTACTTTGACCTATAATGGTTTACTTTTATAAATTTTGACTTGGATGGAGAGTTGTCTCATTGGCACTCATACCACATCTTCTTATATCTATATATAAACAGAGTTAATAAAATATCACTGTACTAAAGTACCATTTACAAGGAGTAAATATATACAAAGGCTGCTCAAAAAAATTTGCGGACAAGTAAATATGTCATTTTGTTTTTCTTCGTTGACATATTTGTTTGTTTTTATAGTGATTAAGATTATAACACAATGATGACTGCTGTACCCCTATTTTTGATATTTTTACCTATTATGTCTGTTTGTTATGTTCACACATTGTTGTCAATATAACAGAATTTTATGCGACTGTCATACAAGTGAGAGGTTTAGCTAGCTTTAAAACCAGGTTTAATCCAACATTTTCTACATAGCTGTACCAAGTCAGGAATATGACAGTTGTTTTCTATTTGTTTGATGTGTTTGAGCTTTTGATTTTGACATTTGAAAATCTTAGTCTTTCCGTTTTGAATTTTCCTTGGAGTTTGGTATTTTTGTTTATTACTTTTTACCTGAAATTCATACTTTTCAATCAAGGTTATTATTACTTTTAAATCCTTTTAGGTTATAACTATCTAATTTCTTATTCAAATAATTTGCATATATATACTATAACTGCCCAACTAGTTCATTTATCAAAATAAGATATGAGCTCATATCTTACCATGCCTAATAAATCAAATAAATAGCTTAATTTTTTTCCTTGTATAATACCAGTTACTTTCAATCATTAAAAAATCATGGTTTTTTGTTCAGCTGTTTGGAACAAATTTAAAGGTGTCACCAATCATCAGAAAATTGTTTAGTTTACCTCAAACTTTACCATTGTTTACCAAATTATTAGGAATGGTGAATTCAGGGATAGTATAAGTTTTTACTTTTTTAACTTTTGTGTTGCAGGGTTAGGGGATTCATAATAAGTTAAATACAAATCATTTGTTTTTATATGTCTCACTGGACTCAAGTATGGTTTCAGAAATCCTAATGAAACTTTTACACAATTGGTATTAAACAACCTGTTGATTTTTATGATTTTTGTCTTGCCTGCAACAAAAGTCACGGTCTCAGAAAGCAAGACATAGGGATTGCTTTTCCGACGACGGCTCCGGCAACAGCGTCAACAATTGTTAAGTTTTCTGCTTAAGTTACTTTGATAGGATCTACTTGTGATAGATCAATGATATTTTGTATGAAGTCGCATTACTATCAGTATATATCAGTTTGACGACTATTTTGTGGCCCTGCCCCTAGGACATGGTCCAGTGACTTTGAATTAATTAGCAATTTTCAATGTTAAGTTTTTCTTCTTAAGTTATATTGAAAGGAACTGCTTACAATAAACAATGATATTTTCTATAAAGTAACATTACTGTCTGTACATCTCAGTTGGTCGACCATTTTCAGGAACATAAAGGGACATAACTGAATAACAGTAAAAGTGACACTACCCAAATTTGTACTTGATCTGTGTTTGGTGGTAATAAGCATTGTGAATAAGTTTCATAACATTTGGTTGAGGCTAACTTAAGTCATGTAAGTTAGAGAACAGAAACGAAAAATTCAGCAATTTTTCCATTTGTAAAGGGGCATAACTATAGAACTGTTAAAGTGACACCACCAAAATTCAAATTTGATCTGTATTTAGTGGTAATAAGCAATGTGTATAAGTTTCATAAAATTTGGTAAAGGCAAACTAAAATTAGAGAACGGAAATGTAAAATTCAGCAATTCTTCCATTTGTAAAGGGGTATAACTCTAGAACGGTGACAGTGAAGCCACCAAAATTCAAAATTGATCTGTGTTTTGAGGTAATAAGCATTGTGTATAAGTTTCATAACATTTGGTTGAGGCAAACTAAAGTCAGAGAACAGAAACCAACTTTGGGACGTACGTACAGACGGACAGACAAGGGTAAAACTTAATGTCCCCTCCGCTGCGGCAGCGGCATAAAAAATAATAATTACTTTACTCACTGCAAGGCATATATATATACTTGAGTGTCTACATTTGGAATATTGCTCAAGTTTAAATGACAATAGTTAATCATCAAAAAGTAAGCAGATCCCCAGGTCATCATTCTCATAGTCGGGTTTGGAGTGAATCAAGCAAGGTATACATAAATTGGAGTGCCAAATGTGAAAATTCCTTATTCATTATGTCCCATAACTCTCGACCAGGAAACATGAACATTCTGAAATTTTTATTCATAAAAATTTAATACAGTTTGAAGTCAACTGGTACTTTCCTTTAGCAGTTGTTGCAATTTAAAGCATATGGTAATCATGGTAAGTATCATGCACACTTCACCCAGACAAGCTCTCAAACAAAGAACGATCAATCTTTTCACAAGCAAACAAAGCTTATACATGAAATTTAAGTGAAAATTTTCACATTAATTTCAAGTGAATTGAGATTCCCATGAATCTCTAGTGAAATTTTTCAATTCAATTGTCACATGAAAAAACTTTTAAAAAAGAAGGTTTTTTTATAATTGATTTTCATTTAAATTTGAAATTTAAGATGTTATTTGAAATACTTTATTTTGAAAATTCACATGAAAAAAATTCATTCGATTTTCACATAAAATTCATGCTTGTTTTACACGTTACATGAGATTCACTTGAAACTCGCGAGAAATCAGTTCATGTGAGTTTCACGTTTTATCTTCTTTGAGGTGTGAGATTCATGTTAATCTTAATTCACATGAAATTTATGTGAGTGAAATTTCCCTGTGTAGGACATGCTTGACGCTTACTTTAAAAATAAATGATTGCTTCCTTCTGTTACACTTACCTACACAGGCCATGATCACTCCTGCAGACAAATACCACAGACGATTATTGTAAGGAATGACAACTTTCAATCCCAGAATTCCACACACTGTTCCAGCGAAAGTCAGAATAACTGATATGAGTACGAATGCTGCAGATACTTTTATCCATTCTGTAATAAAGTAAATTCAACTAACTACCAGTATATACAAGCCAAAGACAAAATGGCTCTAAATATTAAAGTACAAATGCTGCAGATACTTTAATTATTTTTCTCATGCAGCAAAAATCCTGCAATCTGACTGGTTAATTACCCGGGTGTAAATAACACCCCACACTTGTTTGAGCTTTTGATTTTGCCATTTGATTAGGGACTTTCCTTTTTGAATTTTCCTCGGAGTTCAGTATTTTTGTGATTTTACTTTTCACCCGGGGATAAATAAAATTTTGCCAAAATTCCAAAAAATTAAAATTTTGCCAAAATTAAGAGAGAGAGAGAAAAAAAAATAAATGCAAATTAAAAAAAAAAAAAATTTGGGGGCAAAAAATAAAAAAAAACCATAAAAAATTTAAAAAAAAAACCCACAAAATTATAAAAACACAAACAACTTCCAAATTTCTCGAAAATTAAGAAAAATAAAAATAAAATATTTGACAATGCCTAAGGGTGTATGAATTTTCCACACCGGTGTAAAATTCTGATAATCAGAATATATGAAAATCAGGTAATTACATCATGTATATACACATCAATATATTTTTCTTAGTATAGGTATAGAACCCCCGATTTGGCCCTGGTCATGAAGAACATATAAGAAAATAGTACGTATTTCACACAAAATAGTACCTACGTATAGCTGTATCATTCAAAATATGTAAAAGTTTGGGTATGAAATAAAAGCTTAAGGATATTCACATGATATTACTGTTGAATCCTTTGTTGAATGTTGATTTTGAATAATAACAAAGATGTATAAAATCAAAATTGAAGAGAACATTTTTCCTGTCTCTCAGATCAGAAGTACTAGTTTTTGTACTTTCTGACTTGCGCTCTGCAATTAAAGGTTTGTTGAATTTTTCAGCACAAGCTAGGCAATAGGGATTGTTTTGTTTTGACTTGAAATGACTGTCACTTTATTCAAACTTAAGACAAAACTGCTACAAATGCCTAAAATGGGTGAATTACACATGTATATAAACATGATAAAGCAATGAAGCCATGAATTAGTGGTTTGATACAGGTATTGCCATGACTACTGAAACAAATGAGAAATTCAAATTTTGCTACATTTTATGATAGTAATCATGTATTTTGCTGAACAATTCCATTGGTGTCAAATTACAGCCCTCCAATTGCTAAAATATGGTTTTTCAAGTTTTTTTGGTCAAACATCATGCAAACAGTTGAGACCTCACTTGAAGCTTCAATAATAAATAATAATAAATACAATATTTATACAGCGCATTATATAATAACAACAATTACTCTAAGCGCTTCACATTTGAAAATAAATAAAATACAAAAATACATAAAACATAAATTACAAAGCACCAACTTACAAGAATCAAACAAGCATATAAAAATTAATAAAATACTAAAAATGAAAAATGCATGTACCCTAAAATATACAAAAAAACAGTCTAAAACTAATGCAGTCAATTAAAAGTATATAAAATCTACAAGAAATCCTTAAAAGCAGTCCGAAATAAGTGAGTCTTCAATCTTAGCATTGTTTTGGATTGAAATCAATGAGACATGTTTTTTTTTACTATTCATAGTCAAAAGGTAGCTCTTGTTAAAATTATTTGGTGATTTGTCAAGGTTGTTTTTTGTTTCTAAGAAATAGAACACAGAATGAAATTAAGTAAAGCATAAGTCAATACCAGAAGTTTGATTCTGTTATAAGTAGAAATAAGAAGATGTGGTATGAGTTCCAATGAGACAACTCTCCATTCAAGTCACAATGTGTAAAAAGTTAACAATTATAGGTCAAAGTACGGCCTTCAACACGGAGCCTTGGCTCACACCGAACAGCAAGCTATAAAGGGCCCCAAAAAAAGACTAGTGTTAAATAAGGGTCATAATTTGGTGAAAAATTGTTCAAATGGAAAAAAACGCAAACTTGATCTATAATATCTCACATGATGATTTCACAAATAATTCATGCAAGCCATTGATTTATTGGAAACATGGCCCAGATCATCATCCTGTGAAAACGATAACAAATCTATGCCTTGCATGAATTATTTCGATTCCATAGGTAACAGAACAAATACAGTAATTTAACAAGAGTGTACACGCTGAAATTTCTCGCCTACTTTACTACCATTGATTTTATGTTGATAGCCCTAAATATAAAGTTTTACTACAAGTAACACATTGACTTATCATGATCCAAGAAAATGAGGTCAAAGTTAGATAAACCAAGCCAGAAATACATGTACACCTTACAATCATTCCATACATTGAATATAGTTGACCTATTGCTTATAGTATACAAGAAACAGAACAAACCATGAAAACTTTATATTGACCAATGAACCATGAATATGAGGTCAAGGTCAGATGAACCCTGCCAGACAGACATGTACACTTTACAATCATTCAATGGATCAAATATAGTTGATGTATCAGATATAGTATCTAAGAAACAAATAACCAGGAACGCTTATCATTGACCAATGAACCATAAAAATGAGGTCAGGGTCAGACGATACATGCCAGATAGACAAATAAACATTACAATCATTCCATACACAAAACATAGTTGACCTATTGCTTATGGTTTAAGAAAAACAAACAAAAACACAAAAACTTTACATTGAGCAATGAACCATGAAATTGAGGCCAAGGTTAAGTAAAACCTGCCAGACTGACATGTTCATCATAAAATATTTCCATACACCAAATATAGCTGACCTATTACATACAGTATCAGAAAAATAGACCAAAACACAAAAACTTAACTTTAACCACTGAAACATGAAAATGAGGTCAAGGTCAGATGACAACTGCCAGTTGGACATGTACACCTTACAATTATTCCATACACCAAATATAGTAGACCTATTGCTTATAGTATCTGAGATATGGACTTGACCACGAAAACTTAACCTTGTTCACTGATCCATGAAATGAGTTCGAGGTCAAGTGAAAACTGTCTGACAGGCATGAGGACTGTGCAAGGTATGCACATACTAAATATAGTTATCCTATAGATTACTTATAATAAGAGAGAAATTAACATTACAAAAAATCTTCTTTTTTTTCAAGTAGTCACTGAGCCATGAAATTGAGGTCAAGGACAAAGGACATATGACAGACGGAAACTTCTTAACATAAGGCATCTATATATAAAGTATGAAGCATCCAGGTCTTCTACCTTCTGAAATATTAAGCTTATAAGTATAACATGATACGGGTTATGTTCTTCTCATATATTTTCATGATGGTATGATACTAAACCCCTATATAACAGGAGGGATTTTGTTTGATTTTCATATGAAGAAGACATAATCTTTCAATCGGTTTAATTGAGCTCTGGAGCTGGCACGTCAATAACTGCTAGTAGTCCTTTGTTAATTTATGTATCATTGTCATTTTGCTTAGTTTCTTTAGTTACTTATTCTGACATCGGACTCTGACTTCTTTTAAACTGAGTTTTGGTATCCTGTTTTGTAAATTTAATTTTGCTGACAAATAACTAAGTTCCCAAGCCTGGAAAAATGTGAAAAAATTCTTCAAACATTTCCATAATAGCAGGTGCACAACTTCAACATGTGTACAATTTTTCTGTCAATAAATTTTGTTGAAAATTGACTACATGTAAGTTCCAAAGTCTGGAAAATGAGAACAAAATTCTCAGACAATTCAATATTAGTAGCAGGTGCACAAATTAAAACAATCAAAACATATATGCAATCTTCCTGTGAAGTTTCAGGGATCTAGGTTGAAAATTGTAGGAGGAGTTACTTACACAAAACTTGTAAACCTCTTTCGTGAATTTTGCTGAAAAAAGACTAAATTCCAAATCTGGAAAACCCTAACCGTAACTTTAACCAAAAATACAGATCCATTCTTATACAAAGCAGTTGTTCAGAAAGAGTAAACCCGTATTTTTGCTCTTCCCCATATAAAATTATAAAAGGAAATTACCCAAAATTCCTTGTCACTCACTTTTTAGACATGCTCTGCAATACTGTAGTACTTTTTATGAAAACAATGGAGGAAAACCCTTATATCATAGTTATATGTCATGAATAACATAAAATCTTTCCAGTCAAAATTTTTGGTGAATGAGATACTGTAATCATTAAAGGAACAAAATCCACAATGGCATATATATTTTATAATTTAATAAATTTATATATTAATGTGTACTGCATTTATTTTGTAACTTTTAGGCCATAAAAAAGAATATTTTTGTTTGCCCTAACCCTACAAACCCAGAAAATAGCTGCCTACTAAAAACCTTTTAATGTTCTGAGGTGAAAAAGATTTTTTTTTATCCGATAGGCATGAAAACTAAAAAACATCTGACACTTTAATTTCTCTTTGCCAAAAAAAAAGAAAGTGCCTACCTTAACCTACCCACTGTCTCTACCTCTAAGTAGTAGGGTTTGGGCAAACCAAAATATTTTTTAAGTAAAGCCTTAATTTGATGTGACCACAACTCCATGGTAAAGTACCATAAACCAAAACTTAAACGTACTATAGGGCCAACAGTTAGAAGAAGGAATGGACTAATAAACAGAAGCATAGAATGGAAAACATTATACCCCTACTTTTGAAGGCCAGGCATCAATAATTCAGTATTAGCCTGGCTAAATTACCATATTCCAGGGAGTTACATTCTCCTTTAGTACAAAGAGTCCACAGGCCCCATCTGGACTTTTGGTCCTCGTCATGAAACTTGACCTCAACCCATTCCTGCTCTGCTACTGCTACTATCAATAACAGTAGTGTTATACAACTAAAAATTACTGCTATCAACTGAAAAATAAAAACAAATCCTTTTAAGGGGAGATAACTTGTACTGTTTCTATCAATTACAGAAGTGTTATACAACTGAAAATTACTGCCATCAACTGAAAAATAAAAAATCATTTCAAGGGGAGATAACTTGTACTGCTTCTATCAATAACAGAAGTGTCATACAACTAAAAACTACTGCAATCAACTGAAAAATAAAAAGTAATTTCAAGGGGAGATAACTTGTTCTGCTTCTATCAATAACAGATGTGTTATACAACTGAATATTACTATAAGCAACTGAAAATTAAAAACAAGTCTTTTTAAGGGGAGATAACTAGTATTGCTTCTAGTGTTATGAACTCGGGATTATGTTCCCCTTGTTTTACCATATGTATTCACATAACCAATATCAGTTATTCGGAACCATATTTTATATATCTACAGTTCTTTTCCATATCAAGTACAACCATACGTCATATTTAGGAATTCCAGGATATTCCATTGTTAACAATTAGTCATTAAACAGTTGTAATCCTGATCGGACGTCCCTACCTTAGACGAGCTATTATTATTAGATGACCAGATGACTCAAGCCTAGAAGTATTATATCTAGGTAATATAACACATTCCCACACTTATAAAATCATTACACTAGCAATAACAGAAAACAGAAAATTACTACTATCAACTGACTAATAAAAACAAATCCTTTTAAAGGGAGATAACTTGTCTCCTATTATCATTAAACAGAAGTGTAATGCAACTGAAAATTACTGCTATCAACTGAAAAATAAAAACTAATCTTTCTAAGGGGAGATAACTCATATTGCTACTATATATCAATAACAGAAGTGCTATACAACTGAAAAATAAAAACATATTCTAAAAGGGGCCATTACCCATACTGCTTCTATCAATAATAGTAGTATGTGTTATACAACTGAAAATTACTGCTATTGGCTAAAAAGAAAAGCTTATTAATAGTAGATGCAAGTAACTCATACAGCAAATAGAACAGTAGTTTTATAAACAAAACCTGAAAATTAATGCTACATGTATCAGTTGAAAAAAAGCTTAATAAGTAGAGATTAATTAAATTAAAATAAGTTCTATGAACATGATGAAAGAGGAAGGGATGAAAAGTATTGCAAAAAATGAACATGTTCTACTTCAAAAACTTGTCTACAACATGTACATGGTCTGTTAAGGTTCTTATATTAACTTAAAAGAACTAACCAGTTCCCATCAGAGATCCCAGAATCTGGAAGATACCAGGGTACTGTGGATTCATTTATTTTCCTGGATATCAAATTTCGTGGATTTCGTGGTTTTGCCAATGTCTACTTACAAGGCAATAGAAAATTTGTGATTCGTTGAACATTTAAATTCGTGGTTCATCTGTTCCCACGAAACCCACGAAAATTGGTATCCAACGAATAATAATGAATCCACAGTATCTCTCCACACCTCACAATTTGTCTGCAGTGAGGCTCTGGTGAGGTAGAGGATGAGATACACTTTCTCCTTCATAGCACCAAATTTAATGAGGTGAACACTAGATCCCAGTCCTGTAATAATTATGCTAACATGAGTCCTCCTGAAAAGGTTTTTTGGTTAATGAGTTGTCATGCCTGTGAGGACATATCAATATTAAAACATTTCCAATGATTTGAGTAACTATGTTTATACTCAGTCACCATGCTCACTGTCGATAGGTTATCACTTTAACCTTAATTGCTAAAACAAATTTGTTTAATTCTTATTTTCATAACTGATTGCTTGGCTGGTTTAGTCACGGGGAGAATCAAATTCATACAATTCTCAAGCATCACCCCCTGGTATCTCCACCAGTTAAGCATTCCAATAAATGGCCCCTGTTTATCTATTAATGTATTACTTTTTACTTGCTTTGCTGGTTTAGACATGGGGAGATTCCTATGAATCTTAAGCACTGTCCCCTGTTGTCTCAATCTGCTAAGCCAACAATAAACCAAAATGTGTTCTCCCCTTGTGTCGCACTGCGTCAAACATCCTTATTGCAGCAAACTTAAACATTCTAAATCATCTTATATTGTGTTTGTACACTGGTACTACTGTGGATTCATTTATTTTTCGTGGGTATCAATTTTCGTGGATTGAGCATGTGGAGGGAAAATTGTATTTTCCTGGATTGATTTCAAAGTTTTGCCAAAGTCTGCCTTCAAGCCAATAGATATTTAGAACTTCGTTGAACATCTAAATTCATGTTTAATCTATACCCACAAAATTCATGATAATTGGTATCACACAAATAATAACGAATCCACAGTATACATGGATTTCTTGTACTGTATTGTTTGTATAAATAAAGCCAAACAATAGTCATAAATCGATTAAGCGAAAAAACAAATCCTGCACACAAACCATTCTGCAAACCAAAACAGAGGGAAACACATCAATCATAAGAGGAAAACAACTGAACAACAGGAACACTGAACTGCTACAAAAACAAACGCCAACATACATAGAAACAGTATATTTGATAACACCTGCCATATTCCTGACTTGGTACAGGACATTTTTAAGAAATCAAAGTGATCATAAATCACTAATGGAAAGTTTGGAAGAATTGTGTGTATAATTTCAATCATATTTAACTCCTTCATTGTAGTGATGGTGGACAAGAACAACTTGCTATATCACTGTAGCACTATTGCATAATTGTTGAGTAAAATTACTGCACATTTTTAGACAGATAAGCAATTTTTCAGTGGATAAAATAGACAGCTGAATAGAGTTTTGTCAGTGGTTCACTAAATTTGGGTAATAACTTCTTTTAAAATGCAATTTAATATTTATATTTTTTGAAACAGAAGAAATCACCAAATAAAAATCATTATCATTGTAATTTCTAAGTAAACCTGGGATCAAAGGTTAAAGAGACTTGAAACTTAGTCCTTTTTTCATCTCCCAAAATTAACCTGTGATTAATGGTTGTTTTGGGGGCATGTCTGTGTTCAAACATATATACATAAGTAAAGCATATTGATTTTGACTAAAACAATAATATATGACACTGCAGATGCGTGGTTGATAAATATAGATTCCACCACTGCAACAAGTGTGTTAAGATATTTCTCCACTCGAGACAGTTAAATTTCAATATTTAAAGCGTGAGGCTTGCCAAGCTTTTTAAATATTAAAATTCAACTAATTAGAGTGGAGAAATATCGTAATACATGTACACGAGCATGACAAGTTAAAGTGGTGGCATCTTTTTCTCTAATGATTTTTATCCTTCCTTATCAAAGATTTGAAGAAAGTTGTGTACTTTTTATGTGACGTCATCAGGCATGGTCCCCTTTTTTCATGACGTCACAATAGGAAAATTCAGATGAAACCAAGAAAATTTGACATCACAATTATATTTTGACCAATCACTTGCCTAGAACAGATATTCACTAGTGGGGAGAAATATTTTTATTCTATTGTCCAAAGTTGGAGATTTTCAATTTGTGAGGCAAATTCTTTTAATATTTTAATGTTAGATTGTTCACTGATTTTTAAATCTTAATTATGACATAATCCTGATAATGGAAAGAAAGAGAAATGTTCAAAGGATTTTTATTGAATTTGATGTCATGTTTACCAGAAATGTGTTTTTTCAAGATTAAACTTTTAAGACATTTATCTTACTTTTTTTTAAAATGAGGGTAAATATTTCATTGCAAAAATAAATTTCCTGTAATAGAATATATACAAATACCTTCACTGATAAATGTAACCTAAACTATGGTTTAATTACAGATAATTTTATGCAGAGATTTTGCAAGAAAAAAAAAACCCACTTGGATTTGTTACTCATACAGATTTTCTTTTTGGTCTTTTCTTAAAAAAAAAATACATTGTCTTAATTCTTATACATGTGTACAACCATCTTACAGACAAAATTTAAAGATATTTTATTAAATGCAGTGTAAATCATTAATAGTTATATAGATAAAGGATTAAATCTATCATCTGTCTATAAGTGCACATTTAATATTATTGCTAACCATATGTACAAGTGTCTGTCTGTTTTGTCATGATCGTCTATTTTTGTAATCTGTATTTAGTATATATATTAATTATACCTATATGTTGTAAAACATTTGGTTAATAAAGAATTGAATAGAATTGAATTGAAAGTGTATCAATTATACATGAAGACAGAGGTCACCTAATAACACTGACCTATATAGTTCAAATTATATCTGTTATGTATAAACTCAATAATTATGTAATTTGGTCAATTATGATTGGCATAAAGGAGGGGGGGGTCTATTTAGAATTCCAATTATTGTCCCACCCTTTGTGTTTAATTGTTCCTTGAAAATGGCAGCTGTCAATCATACTGATAATGCATCAATACTCTAACTCAAGTAAAAAGACAAAATTAGCCAGTAAATTGAAAAAGAATAATGACTATATTATTTTTGACAAAATACTCTAAATTAAGATCTTTCTGAAACACAAAATGCATTTAACTTTTGTAAATCTAGTCGATGCCAGGCCTTAAAACGTTTCCAACTGAACAGGTTAGTTTGTACTCAGAGTAATTTTTTTTTAGGTTTAAATACAGCCATTTTTGTCCATTTGTTATGATGAACCTTTAGCAGGTGAGCACAAAAAAACAGATATATTTTCCATTCACTGATTCAGAAATTTCGTTAAAATTAAGATAACATACGTCTTAAATAAATGGATTAAGCCAAGAGGTCCTATCATAATTTGGACAACCAGGTAATAAAAGATCTGGGTCAGAAAGTATTATCCTGTATTTCTGATATACAAATATCGTCTCGTATTGTGTTTTCGACTGTCTTACTTTTTCGACCTAATTCTACATTCACTTCCCGTATGCTGCGCATGTCAGCGTGACGTCATATTCGGCTCCTATAATTAGTAATAATATCAAATAATACCATGTGGTGGTTAAGATGTCCCAAGTAAAGTTAATGTAATTAACTATTTACGTTTTATTATTTGATATCACATTTGTGTACCCTTTTACTAATACTATTTTTACCTTCAAAAAGAATCTATCAAAAATAAACAAATATTCTAGAAATATGGCAGGGGGACTTTTTGCACATGAAGTTTACATCCAGGTCATTAAGTCACATGACTGTCAAGTGGTTAGTTGTAATACTTAAAGTTATTTTTAATACGGAAATCTGCATGACCCTTACAGCTTTTTACTAAAAAAATAAAATATAGATTAATTTTAATTTACAGAAACAACAGTCTGTCAGTGGAAATTACAGACAATACTCACTCCACAATGCCTTCACTAAAGTACTGAACAAAAAAATTACTGTCATGATACAAGATCAAACTTGCTTCCAAAGTGCCTCGTGTGAAATGTGTACCAGGGATGGGCAGGATTACTGACAAATGTAATCGATTAATAATCGATTACATGAAGGATTTTTGTGCAATCGATTAATAATCGATTACTCTGAATTTTGTATGTAATCGATTGCAATCGATTACTTTATCAAAAGTAATTACATTACTTTTCGATTATTATCAATTACATGCTATAAAATTTGAAGAAAGTTTAAACACAACTTATTTAGAATGGTAATTTGGAACTTTACAAAAACAGCTTTTAAAGCATTGTTTTCAAATCGTTTTCTAGATAGACACTCTTAGAGAGGATCTAAACTATTTAAATATTCTTGAGTGAGCGATGATAAACATGAGAACATTCTTGAAATGAAATCGACAATTGTATCAATTGCTTTCTTATATTGTAGGTCATTTTCTCTATAGTTTGCACATATTTGCTGTCATACTGACTTAATTTTGATATTTACTCTTATTTAACAGGATGGTATATTTGAATATAATGAGTATGAGAGGTTTCTTATGAAAAAAAAATATATTAAAAAGAAGAAGAGTCAGTTTAACTAATTTTAAAAGATGGAAATTTATAACTTATAGTTACATGAATGAATTTATCCTTTTGTTTGGATAATCCCCCTAATTACAGGTTATAAAATTGCCAATGGAGAACAATTTATAACCTAAGGGCAACAACATGTATTAAATTTCTCATTTAATTAAACATAATTGAAATCAAAACATAGTCTGTATCTCATTGATTAGAGGTCTATGATCATCTGATTAGTAATTATAAAAACAAGAAGGTTTTTGAGAATTCTTTGTTCTCTTTTCAAAATCATAAACAATTTACATTTTAGTGACACAATGGGATACATGTATCTATTACTGAACAAAAATGTCAATGCATTGGTTCATTGTAAAAATGTTTTGTATTCTTTCCTAATTTTGATGTCATAATAAACACTACGACGAATCAACAGTTTATCTACTCTAAGCTAAAGTTCTAAATATAATTGAAAATTAAGCTTTAAAAAATGTTATTACATATATAAAAACATTCTTCTTTAGTATAGTACAGAACTTAACTTAGGACTACAAGTACATTTATGTATTTTCCTATTTTGATTCTATTTTCTTATTTTTAACATTTTTGTGTTTAACATGTTTAATAAAAAATATCTCAAATTATTGACAAGCATTGGAAGTCATTTATTTCAAAAGCTGGAAATAAAGTAAAATTTGTTAGCCTAGGAGATCTGGTTTATCATAATGCAGCTTGAGACAACAGATTTAAATAAGGTATTTGATAAACTCTCAAGTAATATTGATGCATTCTATTTCATCAAACTGATGAATACATGCAGTTGACTATTTTCATTTAAACTAGGTTTTATTTCAAAATATATTATATCGAAATGTAATCGAAAAGTAATCGATGATTACATCATAATTTTTGCTGTAATCGATTAAATTACGATTACATGCAATCGAAAATGTTGTCGATTACAGATTACTGTCGATTACTATAAAAAATGTAATCAATTACAATCGATTACGATTACAGATTACGATTACCCTATCCCTGATGTGTACAACTAGTCAAATAAAGATATCAAAATAATATTTTTTATCTTAAAGTTGTTTATGTAACCATTTAAGTCATAAGTTTGATTGCCTCATAACAATTCAAATAATTTGATATACAATGATATAGACATTGGCATCAAATTTTAACCAATTCCGGATTTGTACGACATGTCATCTCCGACTTTGGACAAGTTTCTTAGATAGGTCGAAAACACAAGACGCTAGTTTTTGTCAACAAACGTGCCATCGATCTAATGAACTCAAATAAAAAAATAATTTAAGATCGAAATATATTTCAGATACAATTATTTTATGCACAAGTATACTAGTGATTCTCAAAATATTAGGCATGTCTATGTTCAAACATATAAAAGGGAAATTCGGAGAAATATGTTAGTAGGTCGAAAATACAATACACGAGGATAATACATAGGGCAGATTCCATATAAGAAAGTGAAACAACTCCCATAAGCATGTTAGGCAAAAATCATTAGCAATGAACTTCTGTTTTTGAATACATGCTTTACTAATAAAGATAAAGACAATTTGACCAAAAAAAAAATTATGAGCATCATCCTTTTTAAATAAACGAAGCCTTAAATATTATGTTTCTGACATAAGATTTGACAGACTTTATTGTTTCTGACATAAGATTTGACAGACTTTAGTGTTTCTGACATAAGATTTGACAGACTTTATTTTTTCTGACATAAGATTTGACAGACTTTATTATTTCTGACATAAGATTTGACAGACTTCATTTTTTCTGACATAAGATTTGACAGACTTTATTATTTCTGACATAAGATTTGACAGACAAATTGAGTTTCTGACATAAGATTTTGACAGACTTGATTCTGACATAAGATTTTTCATACATAAGATATTTTGACAGACAATATATATTTGTTTTTTTTGACTGACATTGGAAATCAAATCCTGGTTGAAAGTCATTTTTAAAACTCCTGGAAAATACTGCAGCCTAACATCTAACAAGATTTCACTACAGGTCAAAGAACTTTAACTGTTAGCACATTCAAATGTTTCAGACATAAGAAAACATGTTTGACAGATCTTATGTAGGAAACATATAAGTTAAATCTATTGCTTGAATAAAGTTAAATGAAAGAATCAACATGTGTTTTTTTCTTATGCACAGCATGATTTACAGTTTTAACTGGCATATATTGGAACCTACAATGATTTTGAAAGTTTTTACAGCTATGTTCCTGACATAAGATTTATTGACAGACACTGATCTATAAAGCAAGATATTTGAAAGTGAAAAAAAATATATATCACAGATGTTTTTGACTAAATAAAGTAACAAATTTGGGAACAGGGATGTTTGAATAACCAGACTACACTAGTAAATACCAGTATACAAGTGTCAACATAAAGCATAGCAACACACAAACATTGTGTAAAAAAATGGGAGATAATTCTGTCAAAATTTTTGCATTTTTACAACTTGTTTTAATCATTTCTACTTTAAATGGAAACAATCATATCCAAATATTATTTTTATAATTTCTTCTAACATCATTATTCCTCAAAACATTCACAGATTATCTTTAAAATAACAGTAACTATTATTTTTATTTATTAATTCATTTTGACAGACATTTCAATTTCTTATATGGAATCTGCCATAGGCGGACTTGCTAAACTTTAGTCTTTGGGTTTGAGCGTTTCCTCTGCCATGTCATACCTTGATCGGACGAATCTTTACAACTGTCGTTTCCATTGTTTTTACTTGTTTTTACATGTCAACAATGCATGCTTCTAAACAGATACTTTCCATTGCTAAACTTATTATTTTTTTTCTGCAATTTGCATATTCTCTCACAAATTATCTCCCCTCATAGAGTTAAAAAAAAAGTCGAACACGCTCCATTTAATATTCCGGATTTTTATAATGAATCTAAAATATAGCTTTTTGTTTTGAATAAATTTTAAAAGATTTTTATAAAGAAGTTCTATTTGCAGTTAAAGTTCATGATGACATTACTGAAAGATCATGAAATGTTCCCATGTCACATGATACTTGGCCGGGATAAAACAAAGGTGTATTTTAAGACCTTCCTTATTTTAATATCTTAAACTCTCTTTTTGATAATTCGTGTGATCTGTGATCCTGTAAGTGTTCACGATATAAATGTGTCCTGTCTTTTATATGTGGATGATTTAGTATCAAAATGGATTGCAAAATTGTTTAAACAAGTTAAACGGATATCTGTGAGAAATGGAGGCAATGGTATTTAATAGAAGTGGTTTTTGAATTGCAAAGTATAAGCTGATTTTTAAAAATGAATTAGTGGAATATTATTTAAGCCATCTGAAATTTTCACCTGTGCAGTAAATCTCCTGTGTACAAAAGCCTTAAAGACATTGTTTTGTATAAAGAAAATGTTATATTCTGATAAAACAGATATTTTTCCCATATGAAACTTTTTAGTTCTTGTGTTAGTCCAATTATGTTTTATTGTAGTGAGATATGGTCACTTAATGTTGTAAAGAACAAAATAACTCTTGTGTCACAATATTTATCAATGGAATCAGTAAAACTTCAAATCAAATTTGCAAAGAGTCTTCTTCAATTGAGTTAATTCAAAGGCAGTAATCATAGCTGTATTAGCTGTATTACTGAGCTGAATTAGGAATATTCTCCATGTGTATTTTAAAAGCGTCTAAAGTCTTCCAAAGTATTCTGCATGGCTGCATATTTTTAAATCGAAGCAGTCTTAATTATACGATTTGTAAAAAGTTTACTATGTATCACCTGATGAATTTGCTTTAAAAAATAAAATTTTACTACCAAATTGATTTTTTCTCATGTTTTAAAGTAAATATAAAGTATATGAACTTGACTAAATATTATTGTTATATACATATACATTCATGGATCTACAATCTGTCGATACCTGTATCTTGGCATTGCACACAAGGTCGTGTTTTTCTCATACTGTTTATAACTGATTGATAATTTAGTCATAGATGCATGATTGTTTTTATTAGTTGTTAGTGGCTTTGAACTAGCTGTCAGTAACTGCGAGTACTCTCAGATCAGTACTTAGTGTCTTTTTATTGTTGGGATATACAAGTACCCGGGCACGTCCACTCTGTGTTTTTGTTAGATGTATTTCTATTTGTATCCTTCTGATGAGTTAAGCCTTTTTCAACTGATTTTTATAGTTCGTTCTTATGTTGTACTGTTACACCACTGTCCCAGTTTAGGGGGAGAGTTGGGATCCCGCTAACATGTTTAACCCCGCCATATTCTGTATGTATGTGCCTGTCCCAAGTCAGGAGCCTGTAATTCAGTGGTTGTCGTTTGTTTATGTGTTACATATTTGTTTTTCGTTCATTTATTGTACATATATAAGGCCGTTAGTTTTCTCGTTTGAATTGTTTTACATTTGTCATTTCGGGGCCTTTTATAGCTGACTATGCGGTATGGGCTTTGCTCATTGTTGAAGGCCGTACGGTGACCTATAGTTGTTTATTTTTGTGTCATTTGGTCTCTTGTGGAGAGTTGTCTCATTGGCAATCATACCACATCTTCTTTTTTATATTGACTAAAATATCTGTTATCAAATTAAGATAAGATTTTATAAGAAACTATTCCAAAATCAGACTAAGTAACATCACGCTAGCTAATGATCGAAGGTGGTAGATATAATGAAACAGATTTAGAAAATAGATTTTGCCCCCTATGTAATACAAGGGTGGAGGATGAATTCCATTTTGCAATTATGTGCACGTTTTTTTTATGTATAAATACACACCCACGTTCGTTTTCTATATAGAGATTACCCTACCTACTTAGTATATATTAAATTGTACTTATTTATTAAAAGGTTAACCCCTAACTATCCTACTGCCTGTCGATACTTTTATTTTTGGCATTGCATAAGTCGATCATGTCTTCTTTGACTGTCCATGACTTTAAAATACCAAATCATCGGGATGTGTTTTAGTTGATTTTAGTCTCTGATGCATGAGTTTTAATTATTAATAGTTTTTGGCTTTTAACTAGCTTTCAGTAACTGCGAATACTCTCAAATCGTACTTTCGTGTTAATTTGACCTGCTGATACAATTTGTAATGCATTTTTGTTATGAATGTTTAATTATCTAGTGTTATATCTTTCTCCCTTTTTTTCAATATATACCAAGTGTTTGGTATGACTACAAATTTGCACTTCTGTTCTCGTACTATGAACAACAAAATTTTGTAAAAAATATTTCCGTACTCCATGACTGTATACCTTTCAACAAAATTATTTTTATTTACTAGTACCTATGTATATTACTTTATTTGGCGGCATTTTGTCCACGTTTATGGTTGTTTTTCTGATATTGTTTAACATCTCACCCCTTACTTTATTGATGTTGTATTAACATTGTGTCATAGGTCAAATTTATTCGTTCAGTGTATTTTCACTTATCACGTTTTGTAAATATGTCTTTTGATTAAGTTAAGCCATTTCAATTGATATTTTATAGTGTGTCTTTCTATGTTGTGATGTTACACTATCGTTTCAAGTAAGGGTGAAGGTTGGTACCTATTACAACGTTTAAACCTGCTGCATTTGTTTGCATCTGTCCTAAGTCAGGAATCTGATGTTCAGTGGTTGTTTTTTGTTGATGTGGTTCAAAAGTGTTTCACGTTTCTCTTTTTTTTGATATAGATTAGACGTTTGGTTTTCCTGTTGAATAGTTTTACACTAGTCATTTTTGGGGCCCTTTATAGCTTGCTGTTTGGAGTGAGCCATACTCCGTGTTGAAGACCGTACTTTGACCTATTTTTACAATTTGTAACTTGGATGGAGAGTTGTCTCATTGGCACTCACACCACATCTTCTTATATCTAACAACTGTAACTTTCTAAGGAAAACATCTGATAATGTTTTTAGTTTTATTTCAAAGAGTAATAGGAAGCAATTTGATTTTATTTTCTCTTGGGAAGAATATTACATTTTGATAATTATTGTTAGTGGCATAGTGATTAAGATTATAACCCAATGTTGATGGCTGTACCCCTTTTTTGACATTTTTACCTATAATATATCTGTTTGTTTTGTTCACACATTGTTGTCATGATAATTGAACTTTATGCGACTGTCATACAAGTGAGAGGTTTAGCTAGCTATGAAACCAGGTTTAATACACCATTTTCTACATGAGAAAAATGCCTGTAACAAGTCAGGAATATGACAGTTGTTATTCATTCGTTTGATGTGTTTGATCTTTTGATTTTGCCATTTGATTATGGACTTTCCGTTTTGAATTTTCCTTGGAGTTCAGTATTTTTGTTATTTTACCTTTTTTTCACAAACTGTTGTTTAGCCGAACTTTACGATTGATAGGAATTAATAATTTCGTACTGTTAACAACATGTTTGTAAGACAAACATCAAACATAGAAAAACAATCTACTGTTGGTTGTAAATGAATATTTTTAAGTAGTTTGATGCAAAAAATTGAGATCCATTATAAGTGATAATGATATATATATTATATTGATTGTGATAAACGTTCTTTCTTCAACATAAGAAGTGATCAGATTAGAATATTGTACACATTTTGTTGAGAGATGAAATTTCGTCTATCTAACAAACTCATTGTATTGAATAAACGTAGATGTGACCTCATTTCCACTGTATATTTTTTTGAAAACATTAGTAAACCATAAATAGACAGCGTGACAAATGATCATCGAGTTATAGTAATGAAAAGTATCATACTTCAGATTTTAGTGTACAGTTTAATAATACCTTTTGTGAATGTGTTATACAATAACTTTGATCAATCCTATGATTTATAATGAAGAACGATAAAAATACCATATCATTTCAATTTTTAACTATCATTAAGTCGGTCAGCATAAAAATGATCCTGACACTGGGTATGCAGCTGTATTTTTCTCGTCTCATCTTATCCTAAATTTATGGGACTTTTAACCCCTTGCGTGTCATATTTAGACACTTTTATTTGTAGTAAGCCATGGTAAAGTATCATACTTTAAATATCAGACATATATTAGTCTCCAACATACGAATTATATTTGTTACATTATAGTACTGTCATTTCAAAACTATTCACTATATTAAAAAAAAAAACAAATAAAGAGTATAAAACTATGATGAATTATCAATTATTCTGCTTTCGGGTATGCACAGGAATGTGCTATCTCATCTGGTCTTACTAAGTCAAACGGTTTGAAAATGACACCCTATAACTTTCATTCTTTTGGATTTTAGATTTTTCCATTTGGTTAGGGACTTTTATTTGGATTTTCCTTGAAGTTCGTTATTGTTGTTATTCCATCTTTTTAATAAAGTAATTTTAGAGTTGATGAAATAATATCTTCTGAGAAGGAGAAGTCAAAAATCCAGTTCATGTATTACAAAATAATAGTGTATACTAATACAACTCATCAAAGTTATGGGTAACATTAACTCTGTTTGGTCTATAGTCGACAGTTTGTCTACTTTAAACGCAAGTCATCTTTCAATATATACAGATTTATTTACACGCATGTTAACAGTTCGAAAAACAGGGGAAGACTGTCTAAAAAACTATTTACAAAATCAATTATTCATTCATTCAAAATTAATCATATGAAACGACAGTTAAGATAAAAAAAAAGAAGATGTGGTATGATTGCCAATGAGACAACTCTCCACAAGAGACCAAATGACACAGAAATTAACAACTATAGGTCACCGTACGGCCTTCAACAATGAGCAAAGCCCATACTGCATAGTCAGCTATAAAAGGCCCCGAAATGACAAATGTAAAACAATCCAAGCGAGAAAACTAACGGCCTAATTTATATACAAAAAAATGAA